ATAGAAGATACCTGCTGATGAAAATCATTAGCAAAACCAACTTTCTCAATGTTTGCTTCTTACTTATCCTTCCCATAATCATATAAGCTTGGACATAGAGTGACTGTTGCTATTTATTTAACCCTTCCCTGATTGTTCAAGGTATAGTAGCTAGGCTAAATTGAAATAGGCAAAAAATAAATTTCAGCAAAATCGACTCAAGCTTGATATAGCAGACCTATAATCCAAAACACTGTTATATTATATTTTCACAAATATTCAAGTATAACAGTTATATGTAACTTATATACAATATTGATTATTAAGTGGCGTTTAAAGTTCAAAATTTGGTGGGTCCACATCTTCATCGCCAGACAGATCCAATAAACCCACATTTAACACACTCAAATAGAATTATCTCATGTTCAATATCATACACAGGTTTTAGAGGAGCTTCAAGTTCACAATTCAGCGAGTCCACATATACATCGTTCAGATCCTACTTGCCCACAGTTGACATTTCCACCTTTGGCTATTTTGCGTTCTGATTCTCAGTAACATGGTATATAGCTCCAGGTGGCATTGATTAACATAGAGTGTCATTAGTTGCATGGCAACATGAAAAATAGAAATGCTGACAGGCACAACAGAAATACCTGGTAAATACAGAATTGTAATTTTCACAATACGTAACATATTGTCATAAACGGTTTAACCAGCTTGACAATTTAAATATCAGATGGAAACAAACCTCTTGAAACCTGCATTTTTACCATTATATAAGATGCTAAATAAAAAAAATCAGGTTTATGAAAAACTGCCGAATTTTAAACCACCAAACATTAACTTAGCTTTTAGAGCTTAAAATCACCAAATATTATTACCGCTAAAAATTCACCCTATGTGACAGTAGGTAAATATTTTCTTCATACTGAATAACTTACTTAAATTTGAGTCCACTTGTGACAGCCATTTAAGCCATCTTTCATGGGTGAATCAATTATGAATGTTATACCAATGGCTAGCTTTGTGTATCATTTAGTCTAAAGGAGTGTATACTCACGGTATTTGACATAAGGGTGCCCGCTCTAATTCAATGGGCCCCCTGAAATTCTTTTGGAAAAATTATAGTCAAACTTCCATAAATTGAACTTCATCATAGATTCATTTTTCTCCACGTGCCCAGATTTTTTTCTCTGTACAAAACACTACTGATATTACATTAATGAATCAAACTTTTATGAGTCAAATTTCTTGGTGTTTCCAACTACAATCAAGGTCTAATCGTTATTAAAACATTGGAAATTACAACTAATAAATCAAAGCAAAACAGTTACCTGCAGGAGAATATTGAAATGATATCAAAAATTTATTGAATTCAAATTAAATTTCTTGCCTTGTGTTTCAATTTTGTCATGACATATTCCATGGATGTAGAGAGAGCAAGTGAGTGTAACCCCTGGAGTATCATGGAATGGATGGGACATTGGAAACACATATGTTTTTTGGGCAAAATTCACAAAATGATTTCACTCACAGATAGAAAAGTCTTTCAACCATCTTTCATAATGTAGGAATTGAACTATTGTAATTTGGTTTGTTTTTGCTTTACATCCTATTAACAGCTATATATGATCATTTAAGGATGAGCCAGGGTTTGGTGGTGAAGGAAACTGGAGTACCTGGAGAAAAACCAATGACCTGTGGACACGACCTGGTGACACCTAAGATAAGCTTCGAACCTGCAACCAAGTGGTGGAGGGCAAGTGATTGCAGACAATAACACTTAGCAGTGCGGTCCCTGTGAACTTGTGACAACTAGGTATAAGTATTCCATACAGATGAACACAGAATATGAAATTTTGGCACTCCAGAAAAATGATCTGAATGTTTACCTTTTACATGATGCCCAATTAATTAGCATTACTTATCATTCAGAATACATGCAGTTTAAATTCCCGTGTTCAGCAACAGTAAAATTTCAACACAATGCCCATCATTTATATACAGTAAAATCTCAACACAATGCCCATCATTTATATACAGTAAAACCCCAACACAATGCCTTACATTTTATTCGCCCCTTGCTTACTGCCAAAATATTTTTTAATTCTTTTCCTCTTTACTTTAAATATGCTTCATAAATTGTCTTCCTTTTATCTCCAAACCCCTTTATAATGTCAAATTTGGCTGGAGTAAGATCTTCACAGAAATTTTACTGTATTTTGAAATTACAAAAAATTAGTAAAGATTGAATTCATTATATTTACAGAAATTAGCCAAGAACAAAGCATCCGTCTGCGAGTAAATTGATTGAAATCATTGAATGGCCGTAAAAATACAACAGAAAAACAGAAAGTAGAAATTTATTTTCCTGTAGAATGTCTGGGTCCGTATTCAAAATATGAAACCATTCTCATCCTCAAGCTTGGATTTTGTGCTCAAGCTGAATTTCTGGTTCCCATTATAAATTACCAACATAAATAAAAAACACTATTTTGTCAATGATTTGGAAAATTATGAAAGAGACTTAAAGCCAAATACTGTTTTCAATGTTTACATTTGACCTTTTGATTGTTTTGACATGATTTAAGGGAGTTACAAGAAAGTTGGTTTGAGCACAGATTCAATGCTTTCAAGAGCATGAGAACGGTTTCATGAATAGTTTATACATGTACTGGGAAGGCAGAAAATATTTAAAATTGAGCCATGTTCTATATTTTTTCAAACCTTTCCTGGTTGGAGTTTTAATTATCATATGTATACCATTCTGACACAGTGGTGTGATATAGCTCTGTGTGTTTAGCACAAGGGAGATAACCCATTTTTAAACGACTTTCCCTACAAAAAATTGGCAGATACAAAATCTAAAATAACCTGATAGCATTTGAATCTTGACATGCTAATAAGTGCAGGATTCAATTTAGCTCTGATGTTATCATAGGTCAGTATTTGTCAAGATCTTTAATTATAAACATTATTGTTACCAGTAACTGATCCAGGATTGTTGATCTTAGAACAACTTAGAGAAACTGTTATTTGTTCAATTTTATAATGTTCTGTAATTTTACATTATCTGGAACCTTTGATGCAAAGCATCATTGTTAAGTTGTTATCTGTAGTTATTACGTCCTCAAATCTGTTATAATCAATATATATTTATCAATGTTGAGCTCTGTCCCCTGGATGTGACCTGATTAATGACCCCAGTGTAAAATTAAAACAGCGAATAAAAATATGAAAATATGTTACTTACCAATTTCGGGGAAATCATGAATTTCCATTCCAGGCTGTAATTTCTAAAATAAAGCATTACAGAACAGTCACTATATTATAATAGAGTTTATAGACTTAGCTAATGAATTAATTAATTTATGCTAATTTTTTTTCAAATGAACAATTTCCCAAAACATATAATACATTTTAGGTTTTACTCATCCAAAAACTTCAGTGTTCATAAGGTTTCCTATTTCATGCCATGTTTTGCAGCACTAGCATATTGCCTGGCACTAACATTTAGTAACAAGGTATGACATGCACTTATATTTAACACAGTCCAGAGAGTATGAGTACAGTCTTACTCAAACCCATTTTATACATCCACAGATGTGCTTGTGTTTGTGTTGGAGGTTCTATAGGTTGTTTACAGGGTCATACAGCACAACCAGTAAAACGTTTAATCTAATGTAAAGGTATTCTGCTTCTTATGGGTCTGCATTACCAATAGCTCCTTTATAGTGCCATACAACTCAAATCATGCCCAGACCATGTTGTACTCCACTCCAGGCAGGTGGAGTTGAGCCACCACATGAGTAAGTGACCATGGGATGTGGTTGTGTCTTAACTCACTCACCCCTGAAATTTCATAATGAACTATTCCAACCTTTGAATTGAAAGAGTTAAAATGTGTCTTCAGGGGTGAATGAGTTAGACACAACCACATTCCATAGTCTACAGGGTCTGAACCTATAATAACTGTGTATTCAATAGACTAGCACACAGCTGCCAACTGTGCTATGTTTGTGCTATGTGGCTATCAAAATAAAACCTATTACAATATCCTGGAATTGTTGAAATCAGTCATAAAAGTTTGTTGAAAACACAATCACAGGTCTGTTCAAAATATTTAAAATCACATTATTCTGTTATCAATTACTGTAAATTACAATTCCACTTATGAAATAGAAGTGAAGTTACGGATTGCTCAAAATATCATTCAATTAACTGTAATATCAATGGCTGTTAATTACTAAACCACATTTGAAATAAGGTTGAATCATATTCTGAGCAAATCCACCACTTCGTCTCTGGTTAATTATAGATATGGATTTTAAACCTGGAAACAGAAATACATACACAACACTCACTTTATTCTTAACTCATTCACCCCTAAAATTTCATAATGAACCTTTGGATTAGAGGAGTTCAAATGAGTCTTCTGGGGTGAATGAGTTAACTATGATAAACATGATAAACAATTACTTAGATAAGTAAAATACTTACCTTATTATCTATTTTAATCCCAGAAATCGTATTATCACTAGTGTTCACAAATGTCATCTCTATGGAGACCATTTTGGGGGAAAATATTGAAACAGTTCTGGTAAACTTGTAAGAAATAGTTAAACCCTTGCCCGCCATCCTGTTCACGAGTTCATAAACTTTGGATGGAATTGATGATGGATTAAACTGGAAGAAAAAAGAAAAAAAAAATTAAAACTTATTCATCAATAGCAACATGGAGAATAGTATGGACATCTGTTTTCATCAAAATAATATTTCTGGAGTGAAATGGAGACTAATTTACGTTTTTTGTATTTTAAATAAACAGAAAAAGTATTCTATTTTCCAAACATTAACATGACATTAAGGGGAGCATGACACAAACAGGAGCATGACATTAACAGGAATCATTTCATTCAAATACAGTAACATTCAAATTAGTAATTTAGAATAGAATTGATATAATGCATGCAAAGTGTTAGAAAAAAATCTCAATATTTGTACTTTCTGATTAATTGAACAATTTCGATAAAAGAAATGCAATAACGCTATTTGTTTTGGATATATATAAATACACATAAAATTGGGTTTTTTTCATGGTGATCCAGCTTTCAACTACATTTCTCAACGAGATATATCCATTTTTTTGTGAATTGCATTACAAAATTAGGGGATTCAATCTTTTATCTTTTTTGCAAGAAAATATAACATTCAAAGGAATACTGATATTTAATGATATGTCAATTATTGGCATAGAAAATAATATCACTGTCATGCAGATTTGTGTGTTGCATGAAAATGTCAAATTACATGGGTTACATTTCTTTCATGACATTGGATAAAAAAGACTTAACTTGAAATAAAATACATGGTTATTATCCTAATAACTAATGAAGCTTGTAAAACACAAGATTACATGCAACACATGCGCACTTGAAAACAAAGTTTTTGCAAAAGAGACATGGTTGGCAGACAGTCATCTTGGTCCATTTTCGTTTAAACGGTCAAACCGGTCGGACCAAAGTTGTTCGTTTATTAATAAAGTCGGACCTAGTTATCTGATGCTGCTTTCAATGCCTTGCAAGGCCTGCATAAAAATGTGCAGGTCCGCCAGGATTTATACCCCGAAAATGTTACATTTATAAAAGGTCAAACCGGTTGTTCCGCATAAACGAACAGGCCCTTGGTAACACCATTTTCATTAAATTAGAAAATGTTTGTAAAGAATGCATATGCCCCGACTCTTACTTAAATACAATGTATGCTTCCTAGCTGTGCTAAGATACTTAACAAGTGGAAGAAAACTTAAAGTGCATCGTTTTATCACAACAGCTATTATCAGATTTGACAGACATCTTGGATAATGCATCATGTGTAAAACACCCTCCCTGTATACTACCTGAAAGTACTCAAATATTTAACAAAATGGAAGAACACTGAAAGTGATTGACCCTGTTTTATATCAATTCATATTTTAAGATTTGACGGACATCTTGGATAATGCATCATTGGTCCAAACCCTCTCTGTATACTTTCTAGCAGTGTTACTTGACAAAATAGCAGAATTGCAATACCTATTTTCAAATTTGACTAATGCATTATGCATGCAAACCATCCCTGTATGTTTGTTTGTTTGTTCGAGTGGTTTTACGTTCGCTTCACTATTGAGTCGTTCTGCTGTCCAGCAGACGACCCTTGTATGCTCTCCAGCAGTACCAAGCTTAAGACATTACCAAAGTTGAAGAAAATCACAATTCCTGTTTTAAGATTTGACGGACATCTTGGATAATGCATCATGGGTACAAAGCTTCCCTGAATACCCCCTAGCAGTGCTACTTACATTCATGCTGTTACTGGCAGACATGCTAGCACTGCCTAAAGACATGTTAGACATGCTGCCCGCTAGACTGGGGGTCAACAGGTCACCGGCCGGGGTTCCGGTAGAGCTAGCAAACCCGCCCCCTGGTGGTCCAACTGTAGATAAAAGTGGGAGAATCAGGAAGGGAAAACAAACAGGTTTGAGAAATGAATAACAAAACATCAAATTAAGGGAAAGTGTACAAATCTTTTTGGGAAGAATTAATGTCGACACAAAATTTAGGGTGAAATTGACATTCAAGATTAGATTTTTTTCAGGATAAATGTCCTCAATTTGGTTATATTGTGAATATAAAATCCATAACAGTTATAAATATATAATTATCTACATTTAAGAAAGGCCTAAATGTTGAAAGCCAATATTATTTTTAGATTGCATGATATTTTGACAATGATATTTGACTTTTAAACAAATGTCATACAATCCTCAATATTTTTTCGTTTGATTTTCAGGAACTGCTGCAATGTATTGAAGCGAAATTTTGATTCCTTTAAGATAGAAAACTATAATATAACTGTCAGTTTCCACAATGAACTTTTTTTTTAAAGGCTTGGACACTTGCCGAAGCTGGATACAGTATACAACTGAGACACAAAATCAATGAATTGGACTTCCATGGGTTAAAAACACACTAATCAAAATCGAAAGGAATAGAAAAATTAATGTGTAATCATTTTTATTTTTATCGGGAACTCACAATCGTCAAGGTCCAATAATAAATCGTGTGATGGCTTGGCTGGTTCTGCTTTGGTTTTCTTAACAGGTGCAGATTTGGCCTGGTTCTGAAATAAACAATCACTGATCAAGAATCATGTTTCTCTTACCCTGGACAGGTGTATCCGCACTTTTACGGGTGTGAGATTTCCTTGTCTCACCCTAGGGTTGAGACGGGGGTATTCCCCTATTCATAACAATGGTATGACGTCACTTCAACAATGCAACGACGTCACATCAACAATCCATCAATGTCACGTCAACCCTGAATTTAGCATGTAACGTTATCACTACATTGTGTATATGATAAACAGTGGGAGAACAGGGTAAGAGAAAAAGAATCATTCACCCCCTTGTGGGTTATAAGATAAGGGAATCTCAACCCTCGGGGAAAGATTCTTAAGTTGCCAAACACTCGGCAAAGCCTTGTGTTTGGCAACATAAGAATCTTCCCTTCAAGTTGAGATTCCCCTATCTCACCCCCAAGGGGGTGAGAAATTCTAGTATTCTCCTCGAAAGAGGACAATTTTTTTTAACTTCATTATAAAAAAAAAAATTGTGTGAAAACTTCAGTTACAAAAAACTACCTTTACACTAGTGATAAATCAATACCTACTTTGAGTCAGAGTTTTTTGTGTTAACCCCCTGGGCTTATTGCAGAATAAATAATATAAAAGAAAAGAAAAATACAATTCAAAATCAAAACCGAAAAATATTCGGGAAGTAGGAATTAAACCCCTCAGACATCATCTGAACAAATGGAAAAGATATAATGTGAACTGTACTTGAGGAAAAACAATTCCAACAGTTACGTCTTTAGAGGTGGTATCTTCCTTCATCTGAGGTAAAAGCAATCTCTTATTGAAATAATGTGTACCTTTTTAGGTTTAGGTGGTGGTTTCTTGTCGCTGTCATCGCTATCTTCCTCTGAACTTTCTTCCTCAGAGGAGTCCTCCGTTTCATCTTCATCCTCATCCGACAAAACTTTCTTCTGACTTTTACTGACTTTCTTGACAGGAGTGACAACTTCCTCGTCTGAGCTGTCCTCTTCTTCGGAGCTATCCTCATCCTCTTCATCGGAGCTGTCCTCTTCAATATTATCTTCATCCTCCTCTTCATCATCATCTTCATTAGAGCTATCGTCCTCATCGCTGTCATCGTCTGGTAAAGACATTCAAGAAATATGTAAAGTACATGATGTAAATGTATTTAACCCTTTCACCACTGTAGAGCATAATGGACCCCTCCATATCAATGCATGGTAGAGTTTACTAAAGTTACATAGGGGTGAAAGGGTTAAACGATCATGTTGATGGCAATATTTATCAGAATTTTCAACATTATCTGTCATACAAAAAGTGAAGCTCAAAGCCTAAGGTACTTTTGTTTTTATAATTTGATTTCTTTCTTTTTTTTTTACGTAAATTCACAAGAAGGGTGATCATCTTTTACACACATAAACCACATTATCATTAATATTCATTAGACATTTTAAAAAAACTAGAAAATATCTGTAAGACATAAATGCCCCAGCTCATGGATGGGACGGGATGGGACGGGATGGGACGCAACGCGACAGGACGGACATGGGCAACACTATATGCCCCCCCCCCAATTTGATGGCGGGGGCATAACAATATATTGACAATTAAGTGCATTCAATTTCTTGAGAATGAACAGTTTGAAGAATAGCAACTAAATTTCTATTATTAAATATATGATAGACTTATATGCATATGACATATGATATAGTGCATTTCGTAAAGATGAGTCATATGAAGCATAAATATTATTATGATTCTTATATGAACTTTTTTAAAGCATACTATTTTGTCTTGCTAAGAATAAGCCATTCTATGGTGCTTAGACCCAAATGATATTGCCTAGATATGGGAAGTAGATTTTGGAATGAGGTTGCGGGCATGCATCACTGAACATATGTGTTTGGTCTGCCGTCCAGAAATCTATGGTTGCTAACCAATGAAAAACATTGTTACATCACCGCTGTAACAATTTTCCTGATTTACCTTCTGAACTGGACTCCTCTGAATCGGAGTAGAAGGATTTCTTTTCCTTTTCTGGTTTCTTCTTCTTGGAGGGGAACTTGGTTTCCCAGGGCGTGGGGACCTCTATGTTACGTACGCTCGGGTCAGGGGCGTCTTCTGGCCACTCGGGAAGCTCTTGGTACCCCGTGGCCCTTGTGTTGAGGATGTGGGACAGTGTGCCTAGCTGGAACTGGTCCCGGTCTGAAGTATGTGTACAGGTATGAAATATATATAAGGGATGTAATATCTTACTAGTGAGATTAGTGAAAGTAATCCATATTTACACTTGTGTAATCGCACAATGCACCAAAATGACTGTGCGCACATTGTGTATACAAAGTGTACACACCCCACATCGTGTAACGTTGTGCAATCCCACAACTGTACAATGAAATATAGGTTTAGTATACCAGTTATATACCTTTTTTCTAAATCTGACTATGGTCTAGTATCCTATTTATGGAATTTTTTCACCTTTGATATCAAAGCATGAAAATGAAAACCCGAAAGAAGCCGTTTTGATTTTCCTTGCTGTTTTCACCAATTGATTTTTAAAACTACCATCCAAAATATGAAAAAGAGGTTACTTTGTGCCTTAGATTTACCTTTGAACTTTGACTCAAGGACAGGTGCTGGCTTGGTGTGCAGGAATATCTTCTTAGCATACTTGGCTAAGGCGCCACCCTTCTCCCCAGGCAGGATGAGTTGTCGCAGGAAACGGGAGCGGTCACGGATGTCATAGTTCTGGTCGTACTTGGCCAAGTTAAAGACGTACTGACACAAAAGTTTAGTCTGCTTCGCATTGGTGATGCACAACTTTGCGGACAGGTTCAATATTTGTAGCTTGACTATGTCCTCCTGTGTTTAGGTAGAGAACACAAAAACATTTCGTATCATAATCTTTGTTAACATTAAGATTGTTTCCTGGCACTTTTTGGCAATATTTCACTAATCAATAGCTATACAATGCCACAGTACTTTTTTTCAAGTATCAATGCAGTTCTTAACTTTCCTTAAACGCCCCCAGTACAACCAAATTCAAAACACAAAGTGCTGTTGTAACCTTTTACCTGTACTGTCCGTGTCACGTGATGTATGTTACCTGTGGTATACCATGTGCCTGGTAGGTGTAAGGTAAGAGTGTGTGTGTCTGTGTACCCGTACTGTCAGTGTCATGTGATGTATGTTACCTGTGGTATACCATGTACCTTGTAGGTGTAAGGTAGGAGTGTGTGTGTCTGTGTACCTGTACTGTCTGTGTCACGTGATGTATGTTACCTGTGGTATACCATGTACCTTGTAGGTGTAAGGTAGGAGTGTGTGTGTCTGTGTACCCGTACTGTCCGTGTCACGTGAAGTGTGTGTGTCTGTGTACCCGTACTGTCCATGTCACGTGATGTATGTTACCTATGGTATACCATGTACCTGGTAGGTGCAAGGTAGGAGTGTGTGTGTCCGTGTACCTGTACTGGCCGTGTCACGAGATGTATGTTACCTGTGGTATACCATGTAACTGGTAGGTGTAAGGTAGGAGTGTGTGTGGCCGTGTACCTGTACTGTCCGTGTCATGTGATGTATGTTACCTGTGGAATGTATGTACCTGGTAGGTGTAAGGAAAGAGTGTTGTGTCTGTGTACCTGTACTGTCTGGGTTATGTGAGGTATGTTACCTGTGGTATGTATGTACCTAGTAGGTGTAAGGTAAGAGTGTGTGTGTCTCTGTACCCGTACTGTCCGTGTCATGTGATGTATGTTACCTGTGGTATACCATGTCCCTGGTAGGTGTAAGGTAAGAGTGTTGTGTCTGTGTACCTGTACTGTCTGGGTTATGTGATGTATGTTACCTGTGGAATGTATGTACCTGGTAGGTGTAAGGGAAGAGTGTGTGTGTCCGTGTACCTGTTCTGTCTGTGTCAAGTGATGTATGTTTCCTGTGGTATGTATGTACCTGGTAGGTGTCAGGTAAGAGTGTGTGTGTCTGTGTACCTATACTGTCCGTGTCACGTGATGTATGTGACCTGTGGTATGTATGTACCTGGTAGATGTAAGGTAGGAGTGTGTGTGTCCGTGTACCCACACTGTCTGTGTCACGTGATATATGTTAGCTGTGGTATGTATGTACCTGGTAGGTTTAAGGTAGGAGTGTGTGTGTCTGTGTACCCGTACTGTCTGTGTCTAGTGATGTATGTTACCTGTGGTATACAATGAACCTGGAAGGTGTAAGGAAAGAGTGTTGTGTCTGTGTACCTGTACTGTCTGCGTTATGTGATGTATGTTACCTGTGGTATGGATGTACCTGGTAGGTGTAAGGGAAGAGTGTGTGTGTCCGTGTACCTGTACTGGCCGTGTCACGAGATGTATGTTACCTGTGGTATACCATGTAACTGGTAGGTGTAAGGTAGGAGTGTGTATGTCTGTGTACCTGTTCTGTATGTGTCACGTGATGTATGCTACCTGTGGTATGTATGTACCTGGTAGATGTAAGGTAGGAGTGTGTGTGTCCGTGTACCCACGTGATGTATGTTACCTGTGGTACGTATGTACCTGGTAGGTGTAAGGTAAGAGTATGTATGTCTGTGAACCCGTACTGTCTGTGTCACGTGATGTATGGTACCTGTGGTATGTATGTACCTGGTAGATGTAAGGTAGGAGTGTGTGTGTCCGTGTACCCGTACTGTCTGTGTCACGTGCTGTATGTTACCTGTGGCATGTATGTACCTGGTAGGTGTAAGGAAAGAGTGTTGTGTCTGTGTACCTGTACTGTCTGCGTTATGTGATGTATGTTACCTGTGGAATGTATGTACCTGGTAGGTGTAAGGTAGGAGTGTGTGTGTCCGTGTACCCATACTGTCTGTGTCACGTGATATATGTTACCTGTGGTATGTATGTACCTGGTAGGTGTAAGGTAAGAGTGTGTGTGTCTGTGTACCTGTACTGTCCGTGTCACATGATATATGTTACCTGTGGTATACCATGTACCTGGTAGGTGTAAGATAAGAGTGTGTATGTCTGTGTACCTGTACTGTCTGTGTCACATGATATATGTTACCTGTGGTATACCATGTACCTGATAGGTGTAAGGTTAGAGTTTGCGTGCAAGTGCCTTGTTTTGGTTTAATTTGGTCAGTGTCTTTGTGTAAGTTTTACGCGTAAGTCATTTATAATCAGCGGACATTTCACAGTGGACAGAGTCAGACGTGTAGAACGGGGAATTCCAATAATTGTTGTTAGCACACAAATCTACAGTATGTCGTATTGACGACTATCTCATATGTTTCATCTTAAGACCATTGACCTATTGTTGGAACATACTTATTATCAAGGATAGCTTGAATTGTGGATAAAGAAGCGAAACCAACTTTGTTACACTTATAATAATTTCCCAAAAATTGCATTGAGCATGAGACCATATAACCGGGATATATGAAGTTGTAACTAAACTTATATCACTTAATCAACTTAAAGGCAATATGTGTTTAAGGTATATTGACCAATAGATGACAAATCAAAGAAAGATTTTAAACATTTATCCAATGTGCAAACCTCTTCAATGAAAGACTTGGCCATCTTCCTGAGGACGTCTGGGGCTATCTTAGGGACACGCTCGCTGTATTCTCCGATCAGCCAGAGGATGCTTGCCCTCGCCATGGGAACTGTGATGTTGTCCACCATCTTGGCCATGTGTATAATGATATCCTTGTGCTCAGTTGGCTGCAAGGTCAAGGTTTAAAGCCATTACAACTCATCGATTGTGATTGCAAAGACAATCATTTTTGAAGTATCTGTGATGGAACTAGCTGATGTAGTTTGGGAAAATAAGCTAAAATGTGTCTTAAAGGTATATGCATGTGAAGAAATTCATGTAGATATTTTAATTATTTTGAATGCTTAATTAGTGTTTAACTATGTTATCAGGATTATCAGAAATGCATATGATTATGAAAAACTGCAGCTCATAGATTAAAACAGCAACAAGAAAAATCAGAAACTTCATCAAAGTGATTTAGCTTGAAAGTATTCAAAACATCAGGTTCATTGAGCCTATATCATTCTTTTTTGTTGTTGACATTTGTCACAAAATCAGTTTGTTTTCTTTCAATAATCTTTAAGTTAAACTCTTAGGACAAAGAAGCTTCTGATAGGAAATGACTGAAATGGGATTTAAAATTCTAGTCTACAGAATGTGCTACATATGATTATAATCAAAGCCAAATTTGAAAATTCTTTATTTCATTTAAGTATTTGCTTGTTTAAATGCTATATCAAAAAAAAAAGATCTGAGCATGCATTTTTTTAAATTTAATTTCGGAATAAATTTATCAAAATGACTTTAACATGCATCTTACATATTTTTCATCATGTCATTGAAAAATAAATAGAATGGAAACCTCCTCTCATACGAAACGAAAGTTTCTTAAAGCATATGTCTGTAAAAAAAAGAAAACCAAAAATGTCCCCTCAAACTCCATAAAAAACAGTACACCTTGCTGTTCAAAAACATGCGTTATGATTTAAAGATATAGCTTGTAGCAAAACTAAGTACACCAGGGGAAAAACACATGCATTAGCTTTCAGACCATGTCCTCCACTGTTTTTAGCATTTGAACTCTATACTAGGATTTCTTAAAATATGCAAGGTTCAAGAATTGAAATTTGTCTTAAACTTTTTTTTTTAAACTACTATTTATGTTGTGGTTGGACAAAATAGCGATTTTTTTTTTCAAATAAAAAACAACAATAATACATTAAGCTGAAAAAATCCTTCTATATGTCCCTAGCCTTGGCCTTTCACTGTGTCTTGCCTTGTAAAAATGACAAAGAAATCTCACGTAATGGTACATTATGTAACATAATTATAATTCATAATTAACAGTTATCCAATTAAAAGCCAATGCAGCAAGAATGTCTAGAGGTTCATATTCCGTCTTTGCATATTGCAGAGTTATCTTCTCTTGTGAGCAGGTATTGATTGCTACGTCATTGGTTTGTGTGAGAAAATTACGTCGTTTTGATGACGTTGCTCTCACAAACAAATGACGTTACAATCAATACCTGCTCACAAGAGCAGATAACTCTGCAATACGAAAAGACGGAATAGCATAACCGGTGAAATATTTATGTTTGGTGTTTCGATGACTAGTACGCTATGCACTCGGTCACCTTCATCAGTACAAAAAAAACTGTACAAATACTTTTAATGTTATGCAAAGTAACTGAAGCAGGCGAATAGAAAATGATGACTGCCGATGTGGAAAAAAATCTATTGAAAATTGTTCCCACTACCCAACAGATTTTCAAAATTTCGACCAAAAGCCCATACCACTTTCCGTGAGCCATTCTGTGTGATGTGAGTACAGAGGAAAATCAACAAAAGCATAGTGGTTAGTACACAAAGCAAAATAACAGAATAAACAACTCAAACTTATCAATCAGTAGACTCTCGTTTGGCTAGACTCTGTCTCAAATGGCAAGTACCCATCTTTCATAATTAACGGTTATCCAATGAAAAGCAAATGTGGAAAAATGTCTAAAGGGTCATATAGCACAACCGTTAAGTATTTTTGTGAGACGTTTCGTTGACAGGTACAGTATGTACTCTTCCCTTTCATCAGAACGAATGTTGCAAGAATTCTACCGAAATATCGTCTCATTAACTTTTTGAAAAATACATTTGACAAGATTTCACAAATAGATATATACAGAGTCTGTACAAGAGAGATAAGACTGGCACTGCTATATATATATATATACATGAAATAATTAGTATTCAACACGATTTTGATTAACGATTTGTACAAATTGAAGACAGTGTGATGAATTCACCATGGTGATGACATTAATCATTTAAATTAAAACAAAAGGGCAAACATTAATCATTTAAATTAAAACAAAATGACTATACAAGTAAATGCAAGGTTTGGACCTTTTTTTGGCTACCAAATTCATAATAAAATCCTAAAAACTTTTAAATCAATTGTTCTTTAATTTTGAATACTTGTTTGATTCTACATGCACTGGGACAAGATTTATCAGAGTTTTTATGTGTGGTTACCATGGTAACCAGCTGAATTTGCATAAAGGACTATGTATGGTTTGGGCCTGTTTTGGCCCCCAAATGCTTCAAAATTCAAAACCTTTAAATGAACATTGAAATGACTGTTTCTTTTATTTTGAATACTTCCCAATTACTATTGTGAAAATATCTATTTATATTTCTAATTATTGTTGCCATGGTAACAGTTCAAATTTGCATAAATTCGAAAAATTTGAATATTCAGTGAATATTGTGATATTTTGCATTGTTTTTCTCCTAGAAACTATAGAGCGCATGCTTGAACAAACTTAATATCAAAGGATAATGTGTAGGCACCTGTAATACATCTTTAGGAGAAATATATAGTTTGTTTAAGAGTGCGCTCTATGGTAGCTAAGAGAAAAACTAGGGGAAAACCTGGCAGAGAATTGACTGAATAATCAAATTTCAATAATTTATGCAAATATGTCCGTGTTACCATGACAGCCAAAATTCAAAACACAAATAAATATTTACATAATAGCACTGGGGAAGTGTTCAAAATTAAAGAAACAGTCATTTGAAAGTTCTATTGCAGATTTTTAATTTTGATGGATTTGGGGGCCAAAAAAGGCCCAAACCATACATAGTCCTTTGACAATAATTGATTTATGCTTTGTATGTAATTTCCAGTTAGGTTTGAAATGAACAGTAACAAGTTTTGAGTTACAAACATAACGATATATTTTAAATATGTGTTTAAAAATTATTTTGAGCTTTAAAAATAATCATTCACATTATATATCTAGCACTGCTAAGCCATAATTTCAATGAAGATAAAAATAATTGTAGATTTTTCATGAAAATTGGATTTTTTAAAGACCTCATCCAGTGTAATATAAGTGCTTTTTAAATGTCAATAAATAAAACATCAAATTACATAATTATAAAAATGTCCATACACCTCCTTGAAATACATCAGGTATTACCAGGTAGATATTATTTTTTCACTTACAGCCTGAATGTGAAGCCTGCCTCATGCACTTGTGCTTTATTACATTACAGGTAAGTGTGTGCATTGCTAGGTTTATACTGGTAAGGTGGAATATAAACAACGTACCTGCGTTGCTAGGTTACTGGTAAGGTGGAAAATAAACAACGTACCTGCGTTGCTAGGTTACTGGTAAGGTGGAATATAAACAACTTACCTGCATCTGTAGCAGTTTCTTTATAACGACAACGCTTTCAGCCACAACACTTTCTGAAATTTATTAAATCAAGCAAAAATTTACAAATTTTGTACACCAAGAGTCTATTTTCAGTAGTCCTATATTGACACATTAATCTTAAAAACTTATAAACTTTTAATCAAATCTTCAAAACAATGCAGTAGACATCAATGATATGAAAACTTTGAGTTTCACGAAAAAAAAACGAGTCACTCAACACATGCACATAATTATGTGTCTGTGTCTTATTACAAATAGGGAAACCTTACATCATGCTTGAGAATGAGAATGGTTTCATGAATATGGGCCCTGATTTTCTATTAAGATTCGGAAACATTATATATCTCCCACTTCAGGGGTGTAAAATTCCACTTGCCCGATGACCAGGGCTAGATTTTATGTTGGGGCTAAATTTTCAATATTTACTATGAAATTTACTATTTCATTAATACGGGCCCAGGTGAACAGTTATGTGTATTTAAAATATGTCTCGAGGAGAAATCAGCAGATCCTAGTCATAACGTGAGTTTTTGTTCATCTCATGCATAATTATAAACTAGGATTAAAAAACACGTTTTCTTCCTATGTCTTAAAATTAAGAAGTAATTTCATATAGATATAGATCTGTTTCTAACTTCTTTTATCAGGAGTGTCTGAATAATTAGTACTCTACAGATCTACTGAACTCACCATCCCTGTTAGACATAAGGTGAACCAATCCGTTGAGACAGGTATCTGTGATCTCTGCGATGTTACTGGCACAGCGTCCAATAGCTTGAATCGTGGCAGCAGCAAAATCCTTATCATTGCTGGTCACGTAAGTCTGAAAAAATCGACAACTCTATCAGCGAAAAAAAATTAAACCTATGACAAACACAGCATATATATTGTTGTAATAAATATTGGCAAATTAGAAAATTTTCAGGATCGTCTCTTCTCATAAATTAATGTGGGGATAAATACCTCATTAAACAGAAGTGATTTATTATAATTTCAATATCTTGAATTTAATTACTCGAAAAATAAAACATTGCCTTAGCATCTTTTACAAATACATTTTTATCACACTTGGATTAATTTAAGGGCCATTTCTTTGTTAAAATTATAAATATCTAAACAAAGGAATTGCAACTATTTTCTAAAATAGTTCAACACAGTCGCTTTTTACAAAATCTTTAATGCTTTAGATGCGGTACTTGATGATATATTAATATATATTAAGTATTCAGGGGGGTCTACATTGATAACACTATAGTAACTGTAATTCGGAATTGTTAAATTATCCTTTTTAAAGTCTATTATCAAAAGAGAATGATTTTGGGTCAGGGTTGAAAATTTGAACTCGAACAAGAGGTGATGTTTTCGGACATACATTGTCATATGTAAAGTTTCAAGACAATGGGATAAGAGCAAAATAATAAAGGCAAAAATTCCATTTATAGGTTACCTATTTTCTTAAAACTCAAACTAGTACAAGAGGTGGTGTTTGTGAACACATGCATAAATTTTCATTGAATAACAATTAGGGCAATGACATCATCACGGACATGTTTATATGGATGTATGGACCCTATACATAACTAACACTTTGTCACTAGGGCATAACAAACCTGAAGCTCCCGCAATATAGTTGATATATTGGTCTCGGTTGCCAAATTAGTCAAAATCTCCAACTGAAACAAGCAAATATATGTGTATGAATAGCAATATTCTCAACAGAGTACTTTCCAGTACAAGTCAAACTGATCTTAGTTGAATGTAATACTGCACCCTGGGAAAAAAATTTCGCTGCAGTTTAATTAACGCTTTTTCCGCCTTCGGTAATGAGGGGTGAATTTCTCATTGCAGCGAACATTTGTAAACAACACAATACAGATAGTAATCAGATGTGAAGGACTAAATTAATACTGGGCGGATATGGATTTTACCGGCGAAGGGCGAAAGATTGACAGGGCAAAATTTTCCCGGTATACAGTATGTTCTGTTAGGTCTTACAAAATCAGGTAAACACAAAGAGATACAACCATAATATTAAACTACATGATATAGACTGACATTTTTATTATTATTATTAGTAGTAATTTTTTTTTTCAAATTCAATGTCAATCTATATGTTAATTAGCCTGAAGTAATAACTGTACATTCCTGGTTAGTTGCACAACAGGAATTTACAATGCAGTTGTGTATGCATAGAAACTCTTAACCAAGAATATCACAATGTACAATATATCCTTGTCCTACCTTGTGCAGTTTGATATGAGTTGGATCACTGGACCGGATGTAAAAACTCTTCAGGAACGGCTCAAACATCCCCTGTTAAATAGAATCACCAGTAATTTAAATAAGGAACATGTGATTTTTAAAAAAAAAGAAGGAAAATTGCAATTAGCTAACAAGTATTGGTGGAAGGTGTCCCAGTGACCTGGGAAGTCCGTACCAGACTCGGTACAAGTCCATCTCTATAAAGTTAACCCAACAGCACATAAAGTGTATGAATGTTGATGTTTATCTGAGGAATCCATTCACCGAGACTTTTACTCCGTCTCGTCCCGCCTTATCCTCGCCACCCATTAGCTGGTGATAAGTGGATACCAGGGACCTAAATGTCAGTAGCTAGGAGGCATGTGTTGGTATTGATCTCCACAATGGGATCATAGGAACAGCTACTATCAGTTACAACCTTTCACTGTACAAACTCCACTTCATGTTGGAGCACACAAAGTCAAAAACATTTTTTTCTTCTTTTTGAGGTTGTAAAGAATCATCAATTTTGAAGTCTACAAAAACTTATAATGTGTCAAACCAAACATTCTGTCCCAGTATTAAATTACAAAAATTCTAAAAATAGATGATTGTATGATTTTGCTTTAATAACTTCACGAAAAGAAATGATTGTGACTTTAAAGATCATCATTATCGTCTTCACGATCTTCATCATTCTGCAGGAAGGGCGTACGAATTGTACTTGCCGCCCCCAATTGCATGATCGTAAGAGGTGACTAAATTTGGGACTCTATCGTTTCTCTTCTTTCTAAATAACTTTCTTCTTCCTAATGTCTCCCTTGACAATACCTCACTTTTGGCCATTTGTTGAGCGTTCGCCCCTGTGAGGAAGGCTTTGTGTTCTGTCCCATGGCCGAGACATACCAAAGTCTTTAAAAATGGTAGTTTCTACTCCTGTGCTTAACGCTCAGCAAACAAGGAGTGGGACGACTGGTTCGCCTGTATTCAGTATAATGAGACCGGGTGGGGCGTGCTGCTGGGTGTCTTCGGCAGTATGTTTCAGTGAGGTAACACTATAAAGTCGGCATCAGTTCCGCGCTATCACAAGGAGACAAACACGAGCATATTGCAGCCTCCCAAAATACACACGCATACACTACACGCACGCATCTTGCACACAGGGGAGGACTTTTTAATAGGACATTAAACAAAATAACCAAACTAAACCATACTTCATCATACCAGTAAGGGGGAAGGGGAAAAAATGTTGTATAAATGGTGGGTCTGGCCCCCCTGGGGACTGAGCCCAATAGGAGAAATATAGCAAATTCTTAAAAATCCTTCTTCTGTAGGAATGACAGGATTTATTCCATATTTGGGTGAAGGGGTACCAATTGTGTATACACCATGGGTCTGACCCCCCAGGGGGCTAAGGGACGGGGCCCAATAGGGGATACATAGCAAATTATTCTTTAAAATCCTTCTTTTTCTGTAGGAATGAAAATATTTGGTCCATATTTGGTGTGAAGCATCCTTTGGTAAAGGGGAATCAATTTTGTATAAACGGTGGGTGTGGTCTCCCAGGGGGCAGAAGGATGGGGTCCAATAGGAGAAATAGAGGTAAAACCTTTAAAATCCTTCTTCGACCATCGTGATTAAGGGATTTTCTCCTGTTTTAGTCTGGAGCATCGTTTGGCCAAGGAGACTCAATTTTGTATAAATGGTGGGTATGACCCCCACCCCCCTAGGGTCATAGGGGTAGGGTTCTGTTTGAAATTTGATATATCTCAAGTACTGGATGTACTTACAGCACCTACCATGGAGTGCTATATCTTTATTTCATACCAATTATTTTAAACATATTCAGGTGAGCGATACAGGCCCTCTGGGCCTCTTTTTTATTTTATTTTTTAAATTTTTGTTTTTAATGAAATAGTGATTAACTCATTACTGGTGGGAGACTATATTGCTTTACATTAGTAAGCCTTTAGCTTTCAATTCTGGTTTATATAGGAGGAGCAGGGTGTTTAAAGTTAGCCTTTGGCTTACAGTTCTAGTTGTATAGCTTCTGACCTTCAAAGATTGTCCAGGTAATTCATTCAGGTCCCAGGGCACTTCATAGAACTTAACAACATTAAGCTACAGACAAAGTACACCCTTTTCTCTGAATGAGAAATGCTTTTTAGCCCACCATCATCTGATGGTGGGCTATTCAAATCACCCTGCATCCGTGGTCCATCGTCTGTCCGTTGTCCGTCGTCCGTCCTTAAACAATTCTTGTTAACAGTATTTCTCAAGAAGTAGCAGAGGGATCTTTCTCAAATTTTATATGTAGGTTCCCCTTGGTCCTTAGCTGTGCAGGGCAACTTTTGAAACTTTTGACAGGCAGCCATCTTGGATTTTGATAGTGAAAGTTTGTTATCGCTATTTCTCAAGAAGTACTTGAGGGATCTTTCTCAAATTTAAGATGATCTGCAGGAAGGGCGTACAAATTGTACTTGCCGCCCCCAATTGCATGATCGTAAGAGGTGACTAAATTTGGGACTCTATCGTTTCTGATGTCAGAAAAAATCAAATTTCCCGAAACAGTTGTTGCAAGTTTGTCTGTTTGCGGTTCAATGTCCTTGCAACATTTTAAAGGTCACATACTTTAAATGGAGTTGTTGAAATAATAACCATGGAAAGAAGTCTTTGAAATGAAAAAGAAACAAGTGACAGTAATAAATATCTCATATATTTAGATTCATATCTAAAATTAATTTTCCTAGATATTTTTTGGTAAGTGTCCACACTATTGAGGTGGCTTGGAGCTTACCTTCCTGTTGATGGTCATTGTGGCGATGTTACTGAGGACGATGTACTGCACTTCTCTGCAAGAAAATTAAGTTACTTGTCAAAATTAGGGCTTAATAATCTGGAACATTGTTTGCAAGTCAGATTTTTAGCCAAATTGCATTGAATTATTTTAAAGCAGTAAGCAAACAAACTAAAGTGTAAGAGTGTACATTTAACCATTGTCATTTTTAAGTTACTTTGCTATTCCAGATGAATATATTTGTGACAATGGTTCTCAGATTTGACAGATTGTGGGTCCTGAGGAGTGGTATAAGGGGAGATTTACAGAAATATGTGTCACTTACTTGTGGATCCTGAGGAGTGGTATAAGGGGAAATTTACAGAAATACGTGTCACTTACTTGTGGCTACTGAGGGGTGGTATAAGGGGAGATTTACAGAAGTACATGTCACTTACTTGTGGCTCCTGAGGAGTGGTATAAGGGGAAATTTACAGAAATACGTGTCACTTACTTGTGGGTGCTGAGGAGTGGTATAAGGGGAGATTTACAGAAATATGTGTCACTTACTTGTGGATCCTGAGGAGTGGTATAAGGGGAAATTTACAGAAATACGTGTCACTTACTTGTGGGTCCTAAGGAGTGGTATAAGGGGAGATTTACAGAAGTCCTTGTCACTTACTTGTGGGTCCTGAGGAGTGGTATAAAGGTAGATTTACAGAAATACATGTCACTTACTTTTGGGTCCTGAGGAGAGGTATAAGGGTAGATTTACAGAAATACATATCACTTCCTTGTGGGTCCTGAGATGTGGTTTAAGGGTAGATTTACAGAAAACATGTCACTTACTTGTGGGTCCTGAGGAGTGGTATAAGGGGAGCTTTACAGAAATACATGTCACTTACTTGTGGGTCCTGAGGATTGGTTTAAGGGTAGATTTACAGAAATACATGTCACTTACTTGTGGGTCCTGTGAGGAGTGGTTTAAGGGTAGATTTATAGAAATACATGTCACTTACTTGTGGGGTCCTGAGGATTGGTTTAAGGGTAGATTTACTGAAATACATGTCACTTACTTGTGGGTCCTGAGGATTGGTTTAAGGGTAGATTTACAGAAATACATGTCACTTACTTGTGGGTCCTGTGAGGAGTGGTTTAAGGGTAGATTTACAGAAATACATGTCACTTACTTTTGGGTCCTGAGGAGTGGTATAAGGGTAGATTTCCAGAAAACATGTCACTTACTTGTGGGTCCTGAGGAGTTGTATAAGGGGAGATTTACAGAAATATGTGTCACTTACTTGTGGCTCCTGAGGAGTGGGATTAGGGGAGATTTACAGAAATACATGTCACTTACTTGTGGCTCCTGAGGAGGGGTATAAGGGGAGATTTACAGAAATATGTGTCACTTACTTGTGGATCCTGAGGAGTGGTATAAGGGGAAATTTACAGAAATACGTGTCACTTACTTGTGGCTACTGAGGGGTGGTATAAGGGGAGATTTACAGAAGTACATGTCACTTCCTTGTGGGTCCTGAGGAGTGGTATAAGGGGAGATTTACAGAAATACGTGTCCCTTACTTGTGGCTCCTGAGGAGTGGTATAAGGGGTGATTTACAGAAGTACATGACACTTACTTGTGGGTCCTGAGGAGTGGTATAAGGGGCGATTTACAGAAATACATGTCACTTACTTGTGGGTCCTGAGGAGTGGTATAAAGGTAGATTTACAGAAATACATGTCACTTACTTGTGGCTCCTGAGGAGTGGTTTAAGGGTAGATTTACAGAAATACATGTCACTTACTTTTGGGTCCTGAGGAGTGGAATAAGGGTAGATTTACAGAAATACATATCACTTCCTTGTGGGTCCTGAGATGTGGTTTAAGGGTAGATTTACAGAAAACATGTCACTTACTTGTGGGTCCTGAGGAGTGGTATAAGGGTAGATTTACAGAAGTACGTGTCACTTACTTGTGGCTCCTGAGGAGTGGTATAAGGGGTGATTTACAGAAGTACATGACACTTACTTGTGGCTCCTGAGGAGTGGTATAAGGGGTGATTTACAGAAGTACATGACACTTACTTGTGGGTCCTGAGGAGTTGTATAAGGGGAGATTTACAGAAATATGTGTCACTTACTTGTGGCTCCTGAGGAGTGGGATAAGGGGAGATTTACAGAAATATGTGTCACTTACTTGTGGCTCCTGAGGAGTGGTTTAAGGGTAGATTTACAGAAATACATGTCACTTACTTGTGGCTCCTGAGGAGGGGTATAAGGGGAAATTTACAGAAATACGTGTCACTTACTTGTGGGTGCTGAGGAGTGGTATAAGGGTAGATTTACAGAAGTACGTGTCACTTACTTGTGGGTCCTGAGGAGTGGTATAAAGGTAGATTTACAGAAATACATGTCACTTACTTTTGGGTCCTGAGGAGTGGAATAAGGGTAGATTTACAGAAATACATATCACTTCCTTGTGGGTCCTGAGATGTGGTTTAAGGGTAGATTTACAGAAAACATGTCACTTACTTGTGGGTCCTGAGGAGTTGTATAAGGGGAGATTTACAGAAATACATGTCACTTACTTGATGGTCCTGAGGAGTGGTATAAGGGGAGATTTACAGAAATATGTGTCACTTACTTGTGGGTCCTGAGGAGTGGTATAAAGGTTGATTTACAGAAATACATGTCACTTACTTGTGGGTCCTGTGAGGAGTGGTTTAAGGGTAGATTTACAGAAATACATGTCACTTACTTGTGGGTCCTGAGGAGTTGTATAAGGGGAGATTTACAGAAATATGTGTCACTTACTTGTGGCTCCTGAGGAGTGGTATAAGGGGAAATTTACAGAAATACGTGTCACTTACTTGTGGCTTCTGAGGAGTGGTATAAGGGGAGATTTACAGAAGTACATGTCACTTACTTGTGGCTCCTGAGGAGGGGTATAAGGGGAGATTTACAGAAATATGGGTCACTTACTTGTGGCTCCTGAGGAGTGGTATAAGGGGAGATTTACAGAAATACATGTCACTTACTTGTGGCTCCTGAGGAGTCTGATGAGAGCCTTTGCAACTGCTCCTACTTCTGCTTTTGGGGCACAATGATGATACAGCTGAGCAACCGACATCACAACCTGTAAACAGAAACATGCAATAAGTGTTTCAGAAAGTGCATACAATAAACTGCCACAATCATCACAACCTGTAAACAGAAACACACAATAAGTGTTTCAGAAAGTGGATATAATAAACTGCCACAATCATCACAACCTGTAAACATATATGAATTACTTTAATCATCTTCTGTTGACAAAACCATTGTATCATAGAATATCTTTATAAAGAAATCTGCCTATCTTTGATAATAAGACTTCTTGAACCTTCCGATGTGGCTACTGACACTTGAGGACAATAATTAAACCTACTGAAGCATTGCGACTGTTGAGGAGGGGTTTAGCCTGTCTTAGCAGCAACCGGTGATCTGGGTCCATCACATATGGTTTACTTTTAGATTCCCCTTCATTTTCATTTTCTTCTTCTTCGTCTTCTTCCTCTTTCTCAGAATCCTCATAAAACGCCTTCACTTCTTCTGTACTCTCCTAGAGAGAACACATTTAACTTTAAAGCATATACTGAGTGAAAGAACTTCTTTGAATAAAAAAACATTGTTTGCCGTAAAGATTATTTAAGTTATCAAAACTAAATTCAAGTTCCCAAATACTTAAATAGCAACAATGACCTTGGCATTGACCTTTTAACTCTGAGTATAATTTCATTTGAGATATATATTTTTATACTTGGCCTTTTAAAAATTGAAGAAAAGTGACAATTCTCAGGATACATAAATAAACAAACAAAATATGAAACTAAGTGTTCCTCAGTACTTACAGTGTAGCCAGATAAAATGTGACCCTAAATGTGTCTGATAACAACTGTATGAGTCATTAGGAGAATGCTTACCCCTTGGTTGGGCGAGACAAACTGTGTCCTGACGTAGCGAGTGAGCATGTTGACAATGACAACTTGTCCCCACTCCTCAACATCCACCAGGAGATTGCACAACTTGCGGAAGTTTTTGTGGATAAGGTCAATCCGCTCTGGGCAAACTTCTTCAAATGCCTGAATAGCACTCCCCACCACCAGCTGCAACAAACATGGGACAGATGCAAAACTCACAGGTGCAAAACTTAAGACAGCTACCCGGTAAAAATCTATCGGATAAAAATGCTTTGCAAGCTCAAAAATATTACTATCCTTCTACCAGACAGATTTTTATGTATGCAGGTAAATGAATTTCTAAGAGAATTATACAGTCCATATCAAATAAATATATATAATTAACACTTCTTCAAGACTGTGATGACCAACTTTTTTTTGTCTTTTGAGATATGATTGTAATACCTGGCAAAAATTGTAATCAAACAAAGTGGTAATTGTACATTTTTTGTAATCATACTTTGTTGCAATTATACAACTTCATAACCAGACATTATTGCAATAATACATTGCCCAGCAATAGATCAATGGCTAAATTTACAATGAAACAAAATCAGGTTCAGAATAAAACCACTGATTTACCATATTAATGATTGTCAGAATTAATGTTTTTGGGTGTACAAGGGAGAAGACAAAAACTTTTAACCATCTAAATTTTCAGATAGCTGACCAGCTTGAATTAATTGCTAGAGGCAGTTCAAGTTCAATGAAACTTTATTATTGTGTAACAGGAATTAAGAATTATGAATGAATTTTAGGAAATTACCATGTGGATTAATTAGATTTCAGGGGAAAGTACCCATTTTCTAAAAAGGGCGATAATTTAAAGACGCAGGGACATTCTCCAGTATTTTTTATGTACATAACCTATTTCTAACTGATAATGATTAGTCAAATTTCGATTTTTTTTTTGTGAATTGGAAATTCTTGAAAATCATATTTACATGGATTTCGATGATTTTTTTATTAACCATCTCTAAAATAAAAGAGTTGCTTAACTTTCACTAAGAGATGATGTTAAATCCACATTTCTTAAGTCTACTTACAGTAGTTTTGTCAGCAAGCAGTTTTTCAATGACCTCTATTAGCTGCTCTTTGTTTTCTGGATCAAGACTGAAAGTAATAATGAAGACATATCATTATAACCTGTCCATTACAAACATTTACCGTACTATCTGCATTTCTAAACATTTGTTGGTACATATGTAAATGCTAAGTTTGTTTTAAACACAAACAGTAGCTGAGTCTATAGTGTTAATTAATCAATTATTGCTTTGTAACAGGAAAGAGAGCAGTTTGCTTCCACCAGGGATCGAAACCGCGATCCCTAGATTCCTAGTCGGACGCTTTACCACTGAGCTAAAGGGAAGTTCACTCTAGCTCAAAGCTAGAAGGCGACCGTAATCCTATGTACACTTAAAATCTGCCACACTACTCCCCCCTTTTTAAATGTGTTCGCTTTTGAACACCACAACCCAGGTTCTAACTCCCTGTCACCACTGGGAGGGGCACAGACACCATTATTAATAGGAAAGAGAGCAGTGTGCTTCCACCGGGAATCGAACCTGCGACCCCAAAACTTCCTAGTCTGACGTTCTACCTCTGAGCTAAAAGGAAATTCCCTTCAGCTTGAAGCTAGAAGGCGACCATAATCCTATGTACAGTTAAAATCTGCCACAGCTTTGTTTAATTTGTGGATTACTGAGATGAAGATTTTAAACCGACTACTCCAGAAATAAAATACCTGTAAAGTTTAGGGATGGCATGTGCTGCCGTCTTTCGGACGTAGGGCGACATGTCCACCACAGCCTCTTTGATGGCCAGCATCATGATTGGTGAAATCATGGGCACCCTGATACTGGACAATACGCGCAGGGCACTGGCGCGAATCAGCTGGTTTGGATCCTGCAAAACACAATTTTAATTTGCTTCGTGTATAAATTGCAAACTAACTCTTTTCCATGATTTTTCCAAATTCAAAGAAAATAAAAAATCAACCATTACATTATTGTCTAGCACAAATTTAAATGTATTCTTCTTTGTAAATATGAAGTACAGTATTGAATTTAAAATAACATAAATTAATCTTCAGTTTAATTTTAGTATGTCACTGTTCGAAAAAACATACCCAATAAATTCAAATTTTCAATTATCAAAGTCATCAAATTATCATAGTACTTAAGGGTTCTTCAGATGTAACTGCATACACTATTATATGATAAGGTCAGGAGGAGTTGTCAGGCCTAGGGAGGCACTGTTTTGTGACCCCATCACCCACATCTATTTATCTTCCACTGTCCTCAATACACAAGCTAACAATTAGACTTCACCACAGTAAATATACTAACTATTAATGAATTTGCCTCACTGACAAGTTTATTTGTCTGATTTAAAAAAAAAAAAAAATTGTCATCAACCAGAAACATAATGTCCTTTGCAAAAATCTTTATAACAATAAACGTAAAGAAAATCAATGTTGCAGCTGCAAATTTATTTAGTTTAGGGCTTTCGGTCTGCTGAGAATTTATTTAGTTCAGGGCTTTCGGTCTGCTGAGAATTTATTTAGTTTAGGGCTTTCGGAAGACCATCAAAATTTGTTATTCTTTTAAACTCACAAAACGAGTTTTAATTTTAAAATTTGAAATGACAGGTTTATTTCACATAAGTTTTGTCGCTCCAAAATTCATGGAAAATTCTATTTGATTCCTGAAATGGCATTCAAATGTCAAGGGTGAACTGAAGGCCCTGAGGTTGTTGTAACGTTGCCAGTACACTGTACCTTTAGTGCACGCTGGAAAGTACTGATTGACAACAGAGCTACATCCTGCTGCTCCTCAGCATACCTGGTCAGGTACACATAGACCAGCTTCTTCACCTGCAAGTAAAATAACATTAAGTTAAACGTCGCAATATTTCCCTTATAACCGTTTTTACAAACACTGTGTTACACAGTAAAACCTATCAAATCCGACCTCTGAGTACTCGGACACTCTCTCTAATCCAACATAACGCTTTAATTCCATTTCTTATTAAACAAACATGGCCAGTGTATTTTGACAATTTTTCGAATTTGACTAGCATGTTTTGTCCCGCAGGTTGTCGAATTAGTCAGTCATCAAAGGCATAAAGAACTAATGAAATAGTGACAGCATAGACAAGTCTACTGTCAAATTTTCCTTGGTTACTTACGAAGGACTGATCATAGATTGTTAAATAAAACTGATTCCTGTCCCCGGCCCCTACAACCAGTCACTTAAGCAACTTTAGCCTAGGCTTGAGACAACATGATTTAATGAAATGAATTCTTACCTCCAAATTTTTTGAAACAACATTTTTCACAACAGCAGGAAATAGCTCTGAAGCATCCTTGCCCTTCGCAACCATCTGCAGATAGAAAATTAAGATATTGTTCTATGTTTCTGTCGGGTGGTGTTTTACATATTTTATATTTTAAGGATCCCTGTCCAACGCCAGGCAAAACACTAGAGAGTTCCACTATAGTTTTTTCATATGTACAGTAATCTCCCCTTAATTTCACTTCCGACAAGATATTGTTTTAAAGAAAAAAAAGAGCTATGAAATACAAAATTCCAGTTTTAATTAATTTATGTATATTTATATTATGAGCTGACTGTCAAAGGATTGTAAATCCTGAATATATTTTATGTATATTGTAAGAATTAATCTGTGAGCATTTATGATATGCTAAAAAATAGCAAGCATATAACTTTTTTTTCTTTTTCAATTACTGTTTTTATTACTTTTTGACAGAATTTCAGACTCCTGCGAATATACCATCTTTTTGAAAATAACTTTTCCCACAAATTTTCATTATGACGTATGTACCCCAATTATCCTTTTCATGGCCTCCAGCTTGTGTGAATCTCTGTTCCCGTCCAGCATGGTCTTAAGATCATCATGCCTGAAAAAATACAGAAGTATATAACAATAGCCATCTAAAGTAATTCCAATGGCCTCCTTCTAATCTGACAAAAGGACCCTTTCTTTTAATAATCTATAAAAAGATCAACTAATTGAGCTAACTTATGATTGTGCTAATCGTAGTTACTTATGTTGTTTCAATCATACATATATGGAGGATGCACTGATTCATCAATGCACTTACCTGTAATAATGAAACACATTAAACCCAAATAAGTATGGTTACAGTAACCTACATGCACTTTGTATTGTATCTGTAACATGAAAGGAAAAATGAATGACAAGACTGGGGTTCGAACCCGTGACCTTCCGAACTCCAGACGGATGCTCTCCCAATTAAGCTATCTGGTCGCCGACTCGACCTAGTCAAGTTCCGCTACATTCCTCTCTCCTTTTTCTAAGTCTTCGCCCCTGAAGACACAACTATTTACAACCCAGGTTCAGGTATCCCCTTGCCAAGCATACAATCTTGGAATATGGAGCAATAATCTGGGACCCATACATATAAGGACAAACATTAACAAATTTGAAAGTATTCAACAGAGAGGGGCACATTTTATCCAGAAGGATTACAGAACAAGGGAAGAGGGATTCATGACAAAACTACTGAAAGAGCTACAACTTCCATCACTAGCATCAAGACGATAACAACAGAGATTTACATTCTATTATAAAATCGTGGAGGAGCAAATTCCATCAATGCCTATTCATTTCCAACGTGAAAAAAGGAAAACATGGCAGCGTAAATTCCAGGACTGCGAGACATCAAGACTAATTCCAAATCAATCAGGAACAATTACAGAGCAGTCATAATACCCAACAGTAACACGGAACAATACAGTAACTCATTCTTTGTGCGAACAGACACAGATTGGAACCACCTGGATGACATCACAGTCTCGAGGCATGGAATAGAGGCATTTAAAGCACCAATCCCTACCAACTGGAATTAACCAAAGCTAAGTATTGCATGCATACTTAATCCCCTCTGCATTAAAGCCAATTGGTCTCTGTGGAGTATAACATATAGATAGATCGAGAGAAGATATGGTAATGTTTAAGCATTTTTACCTCAATCATTTTTTGTTTTGTTACATATATGGTCCATATAAGTTTGCCCTTTCTGAGACAATATTATAACTTTCTATTTCTTATAAGGAAATGTAATATCTGCTTCCCAGCCTAATATTTAATTATAGTAAAAAAAAAAATGGTATTTTCAAATTTGTTTGTATTTTTCAATAATTGCACATACCAAAAAAAATCTGACTCCTGTGATGTCACTGTGTTGAATACTACTTAAATATGCTGCTGATAAACTGTAGAATGACATATTTGAAACGTGATTCAATGTACTATTTGTTATGGTGCGAACGGGATTGGGGTGAAATGACCCAGATTCATTTGTTATCAGATCTAGAAATGTTTACATACATGCAGTCATTATGATCACATGACAACTCTTCCTCAATATATTTTATAAATACATTTTCCGGTTATTAAATTGGGGGCGTATCTAACTCAATGAGACATTTTTTACGCTATTCCAAAAAAATAACTTTGATCTTGTTTCACCGACACTGGCACTGCACAGTGTAGAGCCCCTGCACCCTAAAGAAGAAGAAGAGCCAGGACTAACATCACAGAAACATCACATATTGAATACTGCACTGTAGGCATATAAATGTTGACGACAGGAAGTTCACGTTACATCAATATATTATGATATTCTAGATGAAAAAGCATTGTGGTTTATTTTATAGTATGAGGAAGTCTTTTTCATCTAGACTATTTCATATTGATACGTCAAACTCCTGTGATGTTGACATAGTATCACACCTCTTGAAATCGTTACTGAAAAATCCACTACTAGCGGGATCACTAGCCAAGTCCGCGTCGCCACTGCCAGTTGACGATGGGGGCTTGTCGTTATAGCCACCCGAAAGTTGAAAGCTGCTGTTTGCAGCCATAATTGAGTTTTTCTTCCTTCACCGGCAATCTCGTCTCAAGCGGATGTTGCCTCCTGCCACTGTTCACTTCCGCCTACGCAGCGGAACGTCACAGAGGTGTGTTCGATTAGCAACACTATATCGATATGCGACGTCACCTTGGGTACATTCGCGTATCCGGTTGAAACGGTTGAACCTGTAAAGAAATTTGGCACGTGTAAATTGAGGGGTCCAGACGTACCTGACCAAAACTAAAATGCTGACTATTGCCAGTTTGCATTAGTTCTTTCTAAAACAATGTCAAGTCACATGTGGTTTTTAAGATACGTTATGTAATTCAGTGAACGGATGAAAGGTCATAATATTCTTGAAACACTGTTTTTTATTCTCCGAAACTGTGCATTTTTAGCTCTGCTTATAGAACGGTCCAAATGCGTTCGTTTATCGTGGAAAATTTCTGCGCCACACTTATATATGCGCTGCTGCAATGGGAGGGGGGCATGCAAACTTTATATAACTATTCTATTAATATTACCTTTTGCATCATGTATATTAATATTGTATGCTTCTCTTCTCGACATGTTATCGACATTTATAATAACTAATATAATAATCAGATGACACTAAAATGTGATATTGTTTATTTACAATAATGGATAATTATCGAAAACAATGTTATCTACTTAACATACTTGAGTCATGAACGATTAAATACTGATATCATGAACACCAAAGCACAGTTAACATATCTGTACTACAAACATATGTATATATAATTCATGTATTGTGATAAGTAATCTCTAGATCTGTTTCCGTGACACGTATTTTATCTTATATAATGACTTCCGTGTTCTAAAGCCTCACAAATAACACAATAAATAGTTGCATGGGACCTCATGGGACCTCAGATTTTAGAGAATGATACAATGATATGTGCACATAGCATGGAACGGTGTGCAGTTCAATTGGCGTTGTTTATGACGTCATAATATAAACAATATGGTGACGTCACGTCATGTTGCATTGTGAAATAAAAGCTACGCTAAAGCCGCGGCTATTGTTAAAATTTCCTATTTATCTAATCTTTCTGTCTAGTTTTGACTTAAAAACTACTGAATGATGGCATTTGGATGTCTTTATTTTGTTGCTTAATTCCGGCGCTCTGAATGTAACCGCACACTATAACTGATTTGTAATGGAATGTTGGCTATTTTGACCTTTAAAATATATGTATGCATATAACAGATGTTTATATTTGATTCACAAAAGTTCACTTAAATCAAAATTGCATATAATATTAAATAATGGAAGTTAATTTTCGTTTTATTTCGCTATTATCAAGGCAGTCGGTTTTGATTAAAATCACATAAACATGTCAATAAGTTACAGTATATATACTGGTGCATGTTTGGGTCTATCTGCTGCAGTGGGGTTTTTCCTCCCCGATAATTTGGGATGGGGCCTTTTTGTCTCATTTTGGGAAGAAATACATACCAAGTGGGAAGGAAATGTCCATGAGTAAACTGCAAATCTTGGAAATTAGGCATATATTCGGTCAATTTTTAACTCATGCCATATTGGCATTTATGTATATACTGAACCATGGTTTCTTAGTTTGTGAGCAAGTGGCATGAATCTTTTGTGCAGCATCAATTTTAATACATATTTTTTATATATATTTTGTTCTGTACGTGCCAAGTTGTTTTTAGAATTACTGCATGCTGTGATTTAAATTTGTTTTCTTGTCTGTGTGTCAGAGACGTATAATACATTATACAGTATTATACGTCTGTGTGTGTGTGTATAAACATTGCTTTATGCCTGTTGTTTTCTGCATGTTGTCTTATATATCCTGTTTTGATACCTTTGTTTGTCGTAATAATAGCTCTACAGAGCTCATGTTCCCATTACAACATATACGACTCTAAATAAAAATTCTTGTATCTTGTAGTATACCAAGCATCCATCTAAATCTATAAAATGTTTATATAATAACTCTACTACAAATCAGTGGGTTATTTCTGGGGACTTTTTGATGCCGTATCTGGTTACCGTGAGTGAAATGGCCATTTAAATGCAGATCTAACAGTTGACATGTACGTCTGACAATGACAACGCATATATAGTAATGGTTCACCGACACAACTGGCTGCATGCGGGGGCGTATACGTACAGTACAATACAAATGATTAATCATATATGTATATTGCTATTCATTCAGTAATTAAACAAACTTAGACTTATTTTTTTAATTAATGATATCGCAAACATTCGCGACCTTTTAATCGTCTTTCAGTTTTGCATGGTTAATAATCTAAAATGGTTAGTGTTCATCGAACGTTAGGCTTAGGAGTCAAACGTCACGAGCTGCTCTGTCATCTGTAACCTAACTGTTGGTTAATCGATTACAGGGAGTGACATTTTTTGCCTTTTTCTGAAGGTGACGTCATTTCATGTGACGTTTGCGACTGCGCATGTGTGCGGAAGTAGGTGATCTGCCATCTTTCCAACTCACCGACACCTGTAAATAAATCCAGGAAATTGTGGGAGTCAGACACAAACTTCATCTATTCTTCGGTCTTGGGTTGCTTGATATTTAGTTATGTCAGACTTTGACAGCAATCCTTTCGCCGACCCAAATGCGGCAAGCCCGTTTGCGGTAAGAAATTGAATCGTAATAAACGTTATATGGTTGACAGTTTCGGCCGTAATATTGAATATTTTTACTTAAAATCTATACCTTTTGATCGGAGGTATGTGTATCCTTAGCCTATTATATGACTCAAAGTTGTCATATGCATGGCGTTTTTATGTCATATGTATGTCGGTTGGTTTCAATCCGAACTGCATGTATTTTAAAGGAAAATATGGATCGATTCCTCCCACTTTTCCCAAACACTCGCTGTGGGCCGCTCGCTGTAATCTGCCTTGTAATGAGGCAGAGGCTGACATGAGGTCAGCTAAGAGAACTTTATCAGACGGGGTTGATAAAAGGTCACTGTATAGTGAGAGTCAAGATAAATATATTCTGGATCCGGATCTGTTATCGTAATGTACCAGTTTTCGTCAATAGCATTGTAAAAATCCACTTTGGTACTGACTGGTACCCATGATGTTTATGTTCCCTTCATATAGATTTTAATGATCATTATTCCCAAGTCATGACCATGCAAGTACAGTTAATACCATTTGCCATTCCTTTAACTTGTACATGTATCTATATTATGCGCAAAGGAACAGTCATCGGTCTATGCTAGATTAGTTCCTTATGTGAAAGAGGAAGAATATTGGCACCTAACTTTAATTAGTCTACTACTAGTTAGCTTCAAATTTATTTATCATGGTTTATAACAATTTTGTCAAGCAAGGGTAGGGTGTAGTCTAGATCTAGTGGAGTTGCACATGAAAGCTTTCAATGTGTTGAGTAAAAAAAGTTGAGTTGAAGTCATTATCTTTGAAATTATAAAAGAAATGTCTAATTTCTAGTGAGTAGTAAAACAATGGCATTGGACGGTACACTGATCAAAGATATTAAGGAATAAAAAAAAGAGTCTATCAATGTATCCATTTATTTCTAATTTATATTTCATTGGAAACTTCACCCTAAGCTTCCTCAGAATTGATGAGTGCACAATTCCACTGTCAGCACTGACAACTTCACCTCTGGCACACCTGTATGTTGCTCTTTTGGATTATGTACATGTAAAATCGACGCAAAATTAGTTCTGAAATAAACCTTTCAGGACCCCTCAGTACAGCAGGCAACGCAGGGAAGGCCAGGTGGAAGACAAGGAGGACTAGACGACTACAATCCATTTGCTGATGGAGGCAACCAGACCCGGCCTGCTGCAGGGGTCAGTATATGATCAGCAGTAAACATTCATTGGAATAACAAAACATCTCTATTATAATTATCTAAAATCTGAACAACAATGGAAGGCTTTGGTTTCCATTTTATTCTTTTATTTTATGGGAGAAAGTATTGCACAATTTTTAGGTTCTCACTAGGACTTTCATACAGCATACCAGTAACTCTTAGAGTGCTACATTATAAATAACATACGGTAACCAATCAGTGCTGAAATAATTAAAAGAATTAGATTTTCACTGCAGTTCAAATTTAGATGATATAACTTTACAAGTCACAATTTTAGTAGAAATATTGCAAAAATAGTACTTGTGTTAATATTCAACAATAAAACATATTAATACCAATGGAAATTTGTTTTTTGATATGTTTGATTAAATTTTAATCAACACAATTAGCTGTTTACCATATATATAGAATACCATTTTATAGAAAGTGCAACTATAGTTGTGCCCAGCGGTGGTGGCTAAAGACATACAGCGCAACTATAGTTATAACACTAAAACGGTTAGACTAGTTTAGTTTGAATAGGGATGTACAGTTTTATATTTTGATTACTATAAATATACAGGCAGATTTTAAGAAAAATTCTAGTTCAGATTATTATCATTACTGATAATTATTTCATAGTAATTATACATATCTAATGTTGGTTCATCCCAATAAGATTTGTCAGATATTTTTAGTGTTTGAATTATATTTTATATTCGGCTGAAGTCGTTGAGTGAAGAACCTTTACTACCGGTATACACATTTTCTTATGTCCTGAAATTTTGCACCATTTCCCAGACACATAAATGCATTCAGGGTTGTAAAAATTTGTTTCAATGTACTTGCCAGGCTGAATCATTTTTTTATTTATTTAATAACACATTTTCATTTCTTGTTGAAATATATATTTATACACTACTACACATGTACCATATTTAAATATAAAGTAAGTAAGAAAAACAAATTGCCATGGGCATGCAAGCTTAAAATGTGTTAACATTTACACTTATCCAAGCCCATTGTCTTGGTTTTATCATTTTGGCAAGTTTATATTTTAAAACACTCTGGATATGCACCAATATGATATTATGATAACAGTAATGGCAACATTTTTTTAAACATATATGAACATGCTTCTTCTGCAAATGCACTTATGAAATTTTCCCATTGCAAAACACAGCTGGCTGTGGCACTGTAATAAATGTTGAAGCTTTGTCTGTGCCATCATTCCTTTACATCACTGTACTATACCTACAACACATGGTATCGTCACACTGTCAATTTAACTTATTATGATCTGCATATCATGGTTTTCTCTAAGACCGAGGACAAGAAATCAAAGGAAAAGAAAAAAGAGGATAAAACGGTAAAGGCTTGTTGACTGGTAAACAGGTTAGATAGCTATTTCTTATAGCAGGGAGAGGACCTTTTTAGTTGCAACTTTCTATTTTGATTTAGAATTATCAAAGAGTACCATGTAGGTGTTGGTTTGGAGAGTCATATATACAAATAACATTCCATTATATACACTACTGTGATTACGAGAAGAAGCTGTTTGACTTGTATATATATATATATATATATATATATACAGTAGATGTCTTGTATGGAAACATTTTCATGATCAGATTATAATTATATCTGCAGACTTCATTATTTCAGTTTTGATCCCTTTATGATCACATTCTGTCAGCAGAACACAGTATTTCAGCTCTGTTGTTCCTTTTACTGCTGGTCGGAAATGTAGGCAAGACATCAACAGATAAAACACTACTTCTGATTGTCAATCAATTTTCCCATAAATATAAGTTCAAAAAAGTATATATATATATTCTAAGTATGATCAGACTACAAAATGATTATTATTCTGAAGTCTTAACAATTCTTCAAAATGACTACATAGTTGCCTGTTGTCTTAGATGAGAATCATGTAAAATTCATAATTGAGGTAAAGTTAATATTTTGATTTATGGTGGCTAATTTACATAATTATATATATGGACAAATTTTACAAATCAGTCTTTATATATAGATCAAAATGAGTTTATATAGTGGTCATGAGAAAATGTTTTAATCCCAAAGGTAAATGTCATATTTAAAGGTACATGTACAGTAGTAGTTATCAACCTGATAATGTATAGTCGTACGTTATTCCACAGACACTAGTCTGGGTTTGTGTAAAGCTTCAAGTTTTTTGTTAGACTTTGCAATTTGGCTGCATTTCATCAAAGCCAGAGTGGTGACATGTGTATGGTTACAAAGTTGTTAAAATAATTTCCTAATATTGATTTATTATGCTTTGGTGGTGGTTTTATTTTAATTATTTTTTGATCAATCCTTTGTCCAGAGGTGAAGCTAAATTCATTGCAGGGTACACGTGTACATGTACTATTAATACTGTATAGTGTATTATATATACTGTATATAAATAAGTACCAAAAAAAAAAATCACAATATGAGAACTATTACAACTGAAGGACTGGTAATGAAAAGATTTGATATCAATTATCAAAAAAATTAAGGAAAAATCTTGAAAATATATTGTTGTTGAGGTTTGATATAAAAATGCCAAAATAATCAATTCGTTTGCTGATTGGCTATTACAGATAATGGTATCAAGCATTGGTACTATGTTAAGCAGGCCAATCATGTTATGAGTATGATATCCTTAGTTATGTAGTTGATTAAGCCTTCTACTACATGTAGTTACTGTTTGGACATAAAACATTTTGTATTAGTATTAAATATTGTGGTATGTACCGACAGGGACAGAACGGAGGTGGTATTCCCCCTCCCCAGCCCTCACAGCCCGGGGGTCAGCCGGCCATCATGCAGCCGTCGGAGGAGCCTCCACCGTACTCCGCCAGCTCTGCTCAGAGAGTCAACACAGAGGACCTTCAGAAACGACAAGAGGTATGGTAAACATAGATCATAAAAAAACTTTACTCCTGTCAGTGTGAAAATGTATCTGTAACTTGATAGATACATATTTCAAAAATTAACAAATGTTTTGATGGTCACTTCCTATATATAAGTTTTATTTTTCATGAAATTTAGAAAATAGGTGCTAACTAATTGTTACATTTATCAAGATCATTAAGAATATTTCATTAGAAAAAATGAAGGTCAGTTAAAATAGCTACAGGAAAGAGTGTTAATTTGTTTCTCCATGTCATTTCATCGTAGGAACTTGAGAAGAAGGCAGCGGAACTCCAGAGGAAGGAACAGGAGATGAGAAACATGCAGTTTCAAGGTAACAATCACACAGAATCGGCTGAAATAATTAAGGTTCTTATCGTTTAATAGAAATGATAAAAATTTTGGAATTTAGAAAGGATAAAAAGACCAGTTAGAGGTTGAAGCCATCGGATTTGTTTCTGAAAGAGGGTTTGAGACTTTACATAGCTTTATATCAATATTAGCTACCCCTTGGTAATCGGCGTAATTTATAGGAAATATGTCTGCATCTGTCAATGTTTTAAGAACTTTCATTATTTCGAGTATATATTCATATCAATTGCAAGTGAAAAGAAGGAATAAAATAAGGTGAAGTACTGATTTTGTTGACATGAAAAGAATAATCTTTCAAAATAAATTGATTTCAGCAAAAAGAGCTGGGGCAGAAATGTGTTAAAGCCAATGAACTTGAACAGCTAGATTTGTAGGGTTGTTTAAGTGTTGATTTAACTGGATGTTCAAGTTTTGTAAGGAAATTATTAAGTATGATGAAGTGGGTTTCACTCAATGGCTTATGTTGTCTATCTATATTTTATGCAAAATGGAAAATAAAAAGTACATGTTAAGGAATAGTGTTAGCAACATTGCGAATGTGATTAAAACCTTTTTCAGCAAAGCATTATAGATTATCTCTGAATGTAAGCGATGTTTTAATGATGTTGAAAGTATTATATTGTTGCTGATGATTTGTCTCCTTCATATGTGATAAAAACAATGTTTTTTTCTTCACTAGAACGCCAGAACAATTGGCCCCCAGTACCTAGCTGTTGTCCTGTTGGCCCATGCTTTTACCAAGACTTCAGCGTCGATATTCCACTTGAATTCCAAAGGACAGTCAAACTTGTCTACTATTTATGGATGTGTAAGTATAAGAATCAATCTAAATTTTAATTGTATCTACTTATAGCAACATTTTCTGGATCAGTGTTGTGTACTTGTTGACCACATGAGCTTAGATAATACATAAAATCCATCAAAACCGGTTTTGGAAACATTTGGAAGCTACTCTTCAACACCAGTACAGTATTGAAATGAATTTGCATCATTGAGAATTTTTCTTGTTGAATGAAAGATGTTTTTGTTTGGTGCACAGTCTGTTGACCATTTGGTGCAACAGGAATATATAGTGCTTGTACCTGTATCTGCTAGTGATTTTATGTACCTGTATCTGCTAGTGATTTTATGCATTGTTTTCGAGATACTGACTTTCGCAGATGTATGTTCAGTTTGTATTTAGATTTAAACAATATTTACGGTAGGTCAAATACACCAGTTTCTATCAAGTCACCTACTTTAATTTGACCAAAAGCCTATAAAGGGTGTATAATGGTTTCCAATCATTATAATAACATATTATTTCATTATTGGGTCAGATTTCAGATAATATTCTTGACATTTTGTAATATGCAACTACAGATAACCTGTAACAAATTTGATATAAATTGACCAAAAATATAAAAAAGAAATTAATTTAACCTCAACTCATGTTGTCTTTGATGTATTGATTTGTTGCAGTTTACTGTATAACTCTGTTCCTGAACGTGCTGGGAAGTCTTGCCTACTTCATTGCGGACGGGGATGGTGGCGCCACGTTTGGTTTGTCCCTCGTCTGGTTTGTGCTGTTTACCCCTTGTTCCTTCATCTGTTGGTACAGACCACTGTACAAAGCTTTCAGGTAAATTCCCAGTAACTTTTAGGCCAAATAGAAAGAGATATGTTTCATGTTACAGGTTTTAAATTTTAAAAAAAGGGGTTGGTCGTTAGGCAAGCCAATTCAATTTTTGATAAAAAAATATCTCACATATATAGAGTTTCTTGATTTTAGTGTTGCTTGAAGAGGTAGAATCCAAAAAGTAGGTTTTGAGGGGAGTAAGGGAGGGGTCTCTTTAATATTATACAAGGAATTTAAATATTCCTTCCTTTATGATGAACACTAGTTGTATTTTATTGAGACATGTTAAAGGGAAACAACTCTGTGTGTTAAAACTTTCATTTTGTTTTATTTCACTGCAGCTGCTGATCTCTGATTTGTCTATAATCAGCAGAACTTTAGGTTAAAAATGTGTTTACCTTATATTTAGTTTAATTAAATCAATAAAAGCATGAAATGTGATAAAAAGAAATATTCAGGATGGTGGATGCTATAGAGTAGGTTTTCCCATTGTTAAATACATTTGCATAGGTTAAATTTATATGATAAGGTCACTTGACCTCGGGTTACATGTTGCCAGTATCTGTTCAACTGAGGATGACTTGTAATGACAGAAATATTTTGATAAATGTCCTGTTTATAGTTCCTATTAAGATAAGGGTTGTACAACTTTTATCTTTCCTTGATTGTTTACTTTAGTTCCTTTGTTGTTGTTTAAGATACACGTTTCCATCTGTAGTCGTGTTCTTCAGCTGAAAATTACTTACCAAATAACTGCAATGCTTCTGTTGAGGTACCATACTATGAACGATTTTGGCTTGTTAGAAATCTGCAACTTTCTGGATGCTGTTTGAATGCTGAAATAATGTTGAACTAAAACAAGCCTTGTTTTTTCTCTTCCAGGAGTGACAGTTCCTTCAACTTCTTTGTTTTCTTCTTTATCTTCTTTTTCCAATTCATCGTCTGTGTAATCCAGGCATTAGGAATTACAAACTTTACAGTGTAAGTATATCCTATTTCTCATTTGCTTCAATTCTCAGAATTACCATAGACAAGTTAATAAGGTGAAGTGAAATTTTACCAACACTAGAAGAGCCATTTGATTTCATATGTGTTGATAATGTAGGTTACAACTTAATTTTGAAATAATATATTGTCAATTTTCCCCTCAGTATCAATTAATTTCATTGGAAGAGAAGCATGTTTTTGTTGATTACCACAGAAAGCAAAATAGTGAACAGACCTTGTATTGTAATGTTGCTGTACTTTAATTCTGTATCTTTGAATGTGTATTTTAGGTTTTATTTTCTTGATTATTAAATCTGAAAAAACTACACCTTAATGACGTAATCCTTTGACTGGTGGGACTTAGGGATCACTCACTAAGTGACGTTAAGACAAATTCAGTGATGTTTGATGACTTGTAGGTAAAAAACATAGTAAAGTACAATTTGTCTTATTATTGAGATCCAATATTTCATCATTTATGTTTTAAGCACTCATGATATCAGTACGTAAAATATGATTTTATTTCAGTGGTATCATTGGCGGACTGTCCATTGTTGGAGACAACATAGCGGCAGGGTTAATCATGATATTTGTTGGAATATTCTTTGGCCTGACAGCCACTGTTGGGCTGTTTGTGTTGGGCAAGGTAGATAACTCATCATCATGTGTCCTTTCTCATGTTCTGCCTGGTGGAATGTTGGCTGGCTGTTCCCAGTGGCTGGCTGCGGGATGCAATTAGATATCACACTCACCAAGCGTCACCAGCTGTCATACACATCATGTTGTGATTGTAGTCTGTGTGCTTATTTAGAACGATGCTGCAGGTTGTTTAAATGGTACAGAACACTCAATGACATGAAATATGTTTCGTGCTATGTCCTTGATCCAAAATAATAGATTTAAAAAAAAAATACATACCTGTTTTAGAGGTTATGTGTCCATTCCAGCTTGTCGTCGTAAACATGAATTTAAAATATATTTACAACAATTTTGGAATTTAAGAACAAGTAATATGTATGGTTCTTTCTTTGTTACTTTGGACTCCAAAAATGATAACTGAACCACATTATCTGTTTAAAATTAGTATTCGGGGCGAAGCATGATGTTCTCTACATTATAACATCCTGTATGCATTTCATGGAACAGAATAAGTTGACAATTATTGGTTCCATTCCAAAAGCATTCAAAGGTGAATTTTCAAAAGTAAAATTACCTTCTGATTGTTGTCATGTGCATGTATATATGTTTAAAATTTAAAAATGTAATAATCAAATTTCTGTAAAGTGTAAGTTCATTGGATAAATATTAAAATGTATGTGTAGTACAATTTCAATGAACAGCAATATGGTAATATAGATTATATGTGACAATTTTTGCTTAGATTTGTTAAGATTAAGGATAATATCGCAGCATATTGGTCAAGTAACTGGCTCTTCTTCATTAAAAAAACCATCCTAAATTTGCACTTTTGAAGCAACAAAACAGTTTGATTATTACACTTTAATTGGGTGTCCAGTGAAAATGTCTGACTGTAGTATCTTATGGTATTCACCATTGATGCAAACATTTTAGATCCTGTTAGAAACACAGAGGTCTTTACAGTGGTCTTTACGCTAGATATATCACTCTCTAGCTCAGAGTTATATGCAGTAAAACCTCATTATACTGCCACCATTTGTCCAGAGAAATCTTGTCATTATAAAGGGGTTCAGCAATAAATTGAGGGAAATGTATAAAGGAATTCGTAAGAAACCGAGAAAAAGGGACTTTGAAATGATGTTGGTAAAGGAGGTGGCATAATGCAATGAGGGATATTATATCGAGGTTTAACTAATATAGATCCGATAACCGTACAAGTTGGGCATTAATTTTTTGTGCATGAAATGTTTGTGAAAATGGTGGATATTTGTAGCACCCATTTTCTGAAATGGTTGCTGATCCTAACGAAATCTCGCCAAAATCATGGAAGAAAAAACAATTGTATCATACAGTAATTGTAGGTGGCAGCCATTTCAGATAATCACCCGGTAACCTTCCAATCCATTGTCCTTTATGAATAAAAGAACAAGAAATCTTGATATTGATCTGGAACATATCCAGGATAATACACAGGTATTCCTTGACATAAGCAAAAACATGTACCTTGAAATTGTTTTCATACATTTTGAATGTATAAGAGAAAATTCCATATTTAGCAACTTTGATCTGTGCGTGTAGATTCAAGTTCATAGAAATAAGAACTTAACCCATTCACCCCTATGTAACTTTAGTAGACTCTTCAATGCGTTGATCTGAATGAGTCCATTTTTGTCTGCAGTGGTGAAAGGGTTAAGGCAGTTTTCTTTTCATTTCAATGAAGAAAAAAAAGATCAATTGTTCATGATCAGTCGACATTTTGTGATAAAAATCTGCCTAATTTTCTGCCCTCTTTATGATCAAATAAATTAGCAGCTTGTTTGTTTATTCTCTCTACCTTGGTGTGAAGGTTACCGAAAAACACTCTCTTTTTTTCAGGTCATTATGCATCATGATTACTAACAAAAGCTTCCTTGCCTCCCCACCGTCCCCAGTAGAAATTATTTTTTTAAGTTTTTATTTTGTTTTTATTTGTAGAGGATGGATTAATTCTCTGGGTATCATTGGCAAACACACATTCTCTGGAGCAGTGATGCTATTCATTTCATTTTTCTTTACTGTATGCGCGGTAATACAGATCATCATGCTGATCAAGGTGGGTAGTGTGGTTGTAAGCTTTGGGGAGGGGGGATGAGTCAGTGTGAATTATACCCTAAACTGGTATAAAAGGATAGCATGGTCAAATCTTGTGGGGCTAGGGGCAAATCTTAACGCTAGGCATGGCTATAACTTCTGATTTGAGTGACCTTGTGGGACTTGAGGTAAACCATATGCTAGCATGCTTATAACTTTTAAGTGGAAGAAATGTCCCCCCCCCCCCCCCCCCCCCATTTGAATTTTATTTCATTACATGTATTTGTTACTAGCTCAAACTCAATCTCTAATTGATAAAAAAGTATTTGGACCCAAGCAATATCTATAGTAAAACTATTATAATGAAGTCTTGGTATTGTCATATAATTATGTCTCCCCTTCAAATGAAGGGAGACATATGGTATTCTTCTGCTGGTTCTTCTAATCAAATTTGTCCAGGCCATAACTTTTAAACCATTAAAAATATCTGATGAAACTTTAGGTATGCATGCATCACCCACAGGAAGTGTGCAATGCACTGGAATTAGGTTACTGTGACTTTCACCTCAAGGTCAAAGGTCAAATAAGTGCACATTTTCAGTAAAATTTTGTCCGGACCGTAAATTTCAAACTTTTACAAATATCTTGATCAAGCTTGAACTATATTTGCATCACCCACAGAAGGTGTGCAGTGTAATAAAATTAGGTCTCACGCTTCACTATATACAGGGTTATGGCCCTTTGTTTGTTTAAGTTTGTCCGGAGCATAAGTTCCATGTTATTTCACCTACGTTGACCAAACTTGTTAAAACTTTAATGTATCTTGGGAAGTAGGAGTGTCACATTCTAAATTCGGGTCTCGTGCCCCACTATATAAAGAGATATGGCCTTTTGTTAATTTTTTATACCAGTTTTTCTATTAGCTAATAAGGGGAGACATGTTTTTGTGAACAAAAACAAAGTTCTAGTTGTTACAGCATTTCATTTGTTTCTGGCCAGCATTTACACAACAACAAAAAATATATTAAATGTATTTAGAAAAGAATTTTCGAAATTATTTAATGGAGGAAAGGTCATGCTTAGATAAAGGAACACTGATTAAGAACAAATCAATCATATCAGCATATTTAAGGGCCTGCCAAGGATTAATTTAAGGAAAATGATTAGATAGCATAATCAGAAGAGCCATTCTGAATAAGGAACATTGCATGGCAATTAAGTTTCTCGAGTTATATGATTAGTTCCTTTTGTCATGCAAGATAAGTGTTTTGTTTGAAAGTTTTGTTTCGGCAGACTTAGTCACTTTGATTAGTACAGCTTTGATTAGTACAGCTTTGATTAGTACAGTTTTGATACAGCTGTGATTAGTACAGTTTTGATTAGCTTTGATTAGTACAGCTTTGATTAGCTTTGATTAGTACAGCTTTGATTAGTACAGTTTTGATACAGCTTTGATTAGTACAGTTTTGATTTGTACAGCTTTTGAGAAATGTATCAAAATTATAACCAGCATGTGGTTTCATTAATGAGTGGTGTTTGCTGCAAACAGCAGAAGGAAACGCTGCAGAATACAGAATGACATTTTTTTTAATTAAACATTTATATCTTCCTTATATATATATATTTTAAGTCTGCACTTAATCATATTTAAGCAGCATGGAAAATAATAGATAAAGGGGAAAGACCCAATTATACCCCATACCAACAATGACGGCATGGGCTCTATTATTATATATACACCAAATGGTTATGTGTCCTTCGTAATGATTACTGTTAATAACTTCTGTTTTTTGGTCTAAATTCAAATAATTGTGTTATATAGAGGATCCTGTTATTCCAGGTTTTCTATATGGCTTAGGATCTCAACTTCTCATTCTCATTGTTTCCCCATTAAGGTTGAATAGTATTGATAAAACAAGGTTCTACTGTAAATTTGTAGACTACTGAGGGTAGATGCATGATTAATGTCTTGCTGATACCAAGATCTCTGCTGTTAGCTTATATGAAAAAAAATTCTGTCAAATTGTACTTTGGAGCCTGATCTCCTTCAAGAAACATCCATAAAGAAGACTAGAGAATGTTATCTTACCTTTGGCAACATCGATAAGTTAAAGGCTTAACTCATTCACCCCTGAAGACACATTTGAACTCTTCCAATTCAAAGGTTGGAATAGTTCATTATGAAATTTTAGGGGTGAATGAGTTAAAAGAGGTTTGAATAAGGAAGCTGAAAACACACTAACATAAAGAGGGATATGAACTTATGTCTTCTACATTCTACTAGCATGATGGTATTTTAGTATTGGTATCTTTCATTCATTAGATCTGGTTTAATGCATGTTTGTTCCCAGCATGAATGGAGTCTGTCCAGTGGTGGTTTGTGTCTGTCAGTGTTGTCGGTGCTTCAGTATACCTGTCAGATAGATCACTTTTAATTTCAAGATCTTGTGGTCGAGACAAAAGCCTTTTGTAATATAGCAAGAAAATCAATTTCATTCAATGATACCGTCACTTTGTACACAGCTGAGCTGTGTGTTTGAAGCTTTTGTGTCGGCCCATTTCTGCATTTTGTAATACATAACATTTATAAATGTATAGCAAAACTCATTCACCACAAATACATTTTGGCAAGTTCTTTGACATAGTTATGTAATGTTAAAAGTGTTGTATGCATGGTCAAGATTTTTTTCCCAATTATCGATCTCTTTAATCAATTTTGTCGATAACAGATTAATGTCTTAGGTCCCCTGGGGTCTATTGTGAAACAAATTTTGCCGTATTTTCCATATTGTTAAAATTATACTCATAAGAGGAATATAATTATAAGTAAACGATCTTTTGAATTGCTTAACATTTTGTATATCTGCTCCTTGCCAATCCTTTTTCTAGATATATCAACCAGGGTTGTTTACTTTAACTTTATACTTTGACATTGTAGGTACATAGAATATACCGAAGTACAGGAGCTAGCTTTAACAAAGCTCAGATGGAGTTCTCTCAAGGTGTGATGAAGAACGAGGCTGTGCAGAATGCAGCATCGAATGCAGCGCAAGGAGCGGTCAAGGGAATGGCCAACCAGTACGGCACGTCAAACAAGTACTAGACCACATACCCCGCTGACAAAACTGCACCCTCTCCAGTAGTATAAGTGTTCTCAGAATCGCTGGCGACCGGACTGTCGCAGCACTGATATTGAGATATTCGAGAATAGTTCTGTCTGTTGTGATGTAGGTGGAACAAGTTGTACCTTGGAGATAGAGCCGGGGTATTGAGTATGTGTTTATGATAAATGTTGGGGGCCGATCCTGTGACGCCCCGGTGATGGTACTCTTGGATAGCATTGTTGTGTTTGTTCAATTCTGATCTCCGTCATGTGGTCAGGAAAATTTCCAATACAAAACTTATGGCCGGGTATCAAATTGTTATCAACCATAAAAATGGTTTACTCCGTATATATGTAGAACAGATATTAATTTTAGACTCTCACTTTAGAAATTGATATTGTATGTGAATAGATATTGCTGTAGGATCATAAAACTATTTCTTTGTTTTTAAACGTAAATATACAAAATCAAAGCAAGATGAAAATTCTACAATAAATGTTTTAGTATGATGCAAAAGCATTCCACAGCAATTAAAATTTTAAGTCGCTAACCCACTACGGTTTAAAACTTTGAGATGAAGTAAGAATAAACATTCAGTTTAAAATTGTTACACTTCTACAATTTCTGAAGAAAAATGTTGGCATTGTAAAGAGAATTGGCAATATATAAGCTATAAAGAGGTTGTTCAGAAAAAAGGAACTTTGAAATATAATGACAGTGACTGAGGTTGCAATTGAATCACGGGGCATTATATCAAGGTTTTACTGAATGTGATGAATTGTCGACAAACTTACCAATGCTATTTGAGATCTGTAGTGAGAAAAAAATGTAGAGAGATTGTTTTAAGTCTTATATTCCATGAATTAATTTTACGCTGTATCATGATGTGTGTATATGATTGAGCGGTGAACCGTTGTCAGCAGACAACCCCGTTAAGTGTGAAAGACAAGCTTAAGTTATTAATGTTACAGCACTGTGAACCTGTTCAGTTTGTTCTTTAAGAAAGATGGGACGGACAGGAAATACAAACTGGAATCCAATGGTTTTTAATTTGGCAGTAGCCACGTGGACCAAATCCACGGGGAATGTTGTCTTTCTATGAAAAATTGAAGACATAGTAACTTCTTTTGATAAATATTCATAAATCAGAAATGGAAAAAAGCTATAATTCACTATCTCATACATATGTGTGATATGATTTCCAGAGTTTCCAGCTCTTTGTCTGGGTTTGTAGTTTATGTCCTGATGTCCCGTTGTGTGTGTGATGGGTATCTGTGTTAACTCCTTGTGTGTCACAAAAAGTCACTCTCTTAGCCAGATAGAAATTGTCATTTTGTTCCCAGTTACGTTTTTTTCCCTCGGGGATAGAGGGATATATAAATTATATATATATATATATACAAATAATTATTATTCGTAAAGCAAGGCTGTGTCATTATACTTGTTGTTAAGTGCTATTTATGCGTAAAATTCCGTACTGACCAATTGGTTTAGGTCAACTCGGACTGGAATGATTTTTAACTTCCAACAGTTGCTTTGATGCAAACACCAGTTATTGGTGACGTAAGAAAATATACCCATTGGATCATTCATTAATAAAAAAAAATACTAAGCAGGCAGAAAATAACGAAGCCTGAAAAAAATACACATTCTTTTAACAGAAAATTTAAAAGCAATAAATTAACACAGAAGCTATTAGGCAAAACCATAAATTTTCCTTTGTGTGGTTATAATTTCTATCTATTGAAATTGAAATTTCTTGCACTCAATCAGGTAGCGTACGGGACACCCATTTTAATTCTGTAAATGCTGTTGTCTTCTGTTTTTGATGTTGTTGTATATATGGACGATGTCATTTTTACTGGGCTGTGTACATTGTCATTGTTAGCTTTGTTCAAGGAGTTCATACAAACAAAGTGTGAAACATCCGTAGTCATCCGTAAATAATCCAAGTTATGTGATGTAATATTTCTGTTAGATTCAATGTCTGTAGTGAAAATGCTGCTTTTATTTCAATATAGCGTAAACAAATATTGGATGAGAAGATGAAGAACGTGCGATGTCTTGAATGATTAAAAGGCAACATGAAATACAACATTTGTTTTTGTGAGTCATCTTCACTGGAATTTGAATTTTAGTACTTATATAACATTGTGATTGACCTTATAAAACATGTTTTCTACTTTTATTGAATCTGATTTTTGATGTAAACAATCCTCCATTTGATCTGGTGTTTCTAGGTATATAAATCAAGTCTATTAATTTGTGTACGGGCACTGCCTTTGTTTATAGCTTCCCAAATGTTCAGACAGGAGTTTTACATTCAGGTACAAGGACATGCAAATTGGTCTGATGTTAATTTCATGGGGATCATTGGCAAACACTTTACTAGGCCATCTTTAACTCATTCACCCCTAAAATTTCATAATGAACTATTCCAACCTTTGAATTGGAAGAGTTCAAATGTGTCTCCAGGGGTGAATGAGTTAACAGAAACAGGTCCACATGGTTATCCATGAACGGCTGTTTCAGCATGAACAAAAGTGCCCCTAGAGATGGATATTACAAAACTGAGATTATTTAAAGTCTATATGTTGCATTTTTCTGATTTAATACAAATGTATTTTTGTCGTTAAAGTTCACTGATGATTGCGGGTGGTAGACTTCATTTGTGTGTTGTACAAGTGGTTAAGTTTCTGTATAAATAGTGGGAGGTCATACAGAAACTGGGAGGTCAACTAAATATCAGGTATACCTATTGTATTTCTTGTTGAAGTAGTGCTCTGGTTATATTTCCTTATTCATGCAGATGGAAGAATTATGAAACCATGGGATTGTATCTGGGTTTTTTTGTCGTACAGTGACACCTTATCAACATCGTCGTTGTGAAGAGATGTTTCAATACCTTATTGAGGGAGATGTATTAAGGACTTATAAGAAAAGAAAATTGGGACTTTCAAATATGTCGGTGGTATATTAAAGAAGTTCAATCATGAAATCAGGGGCGTTATATTCAGGTTTTACTGTATGTTGATATGAAACCAGATTGATGAATTTTAAAAACAGTTTCTCATTTTATCATTGACAAGCACATAACCAGTGTCCCAGGTCCCGTTTAAACTGTTTCTACCAATGAGGGTCAACACTGGGGAAAAAACCTCTGTCTGAATGAAGTAGTACCTATGCGTCATTGACCCGTTTTGGAGAAAAAAACATTTCTCTAAGCAAATAAGTAAATATGATAGTTTGATATGAATTTTACTTACCTTGTACACACAAAAATGAAACCAACCTTTGCATGTGGATGTTTTATGATTTTGCTGTTGATATTTGTAGACAATTTGTGGGGTTTTTTTTGTTTTATTTTTGAAGTGAAGAAGAAAATTTGTGAAATAAATTGGGATTTAAGTGATATGCTTGCGGGAAAAGGTAATTTTTAGTTTGTGAAAACAAAAGTTGATATGTTTATTTCTGCTAAATACAAGCTCCATAGGGACGATAGGTTACATTCATGTGACCGTGAACCATTGTCCGTGAGAGTCAAACATTCCAATAACAATGTTTCATTACGTTTAATCATTATTGGTGCTTATGCCCCTGCTGTACATGTAGATGTATACGTACGTGTATTAGTAAAATAGCATCAGAGCCAATTCCCCTTATCACTTTCATTTCAGGGGATGATCCACCACATATTTTAAAATTAAAAGATACTTGTGAACATTTATACAAATACGATCAAACAAGGAACATCAACCTGTTGTTGTATCCGTGGAAAAAAATAGCCCTCTCATCACTGTACAACGTAATGGACTCATCTAGATCAATGCCTGGGAGAGTCTACTAAAGTTGCATTGGGGTGAAAGGGTTAAAATTCTTTCATATTTCATATAAGACATTTTTAAATTCAAATTTCATATTTATGAAAGTTCCAAAATAATTATACAATGAAATACCTAGAAGAATTGAAAATGATAGCAATTAATAGAAAAATACACACATTTTTCCTGAACACTGAAATTGACTTGCCTCTTATATCCTGGTTACCACTAAAATGGGGTGACCATTAAAAAGTGTTATAGCTGAACTACATACATATGTATACAGTAAATATTTGTTTTAAACAGGAAACCATTATACAGTTGATGTACACTTTTGTATTTCCTGTTTATAGTGCTTTGAATGAAACTAACAAATGATAAATTTATTCATTCATGCTGTCCAGTATTCGAAATTAAACTTAATTATACAATTTATTAATTTGCTTTTCTTGGTAAATGTCACAAACAGATAACTTGACACATTTGATTAACAAACAAAACTTAACATTAATGAAATAAAAAGACTTGACTAACCAACTTGTATGAAGGATTCGGCTGAGAGATGTGTAACAAGTATTGTTTGCTGTAATTAGATTGCTATTGTTTATGAAAGCAAGATGGTGAAAACAGCAAGTGTGTAGTGGCATGCTGTTTAGGAATGTTGTGAATTCTGGAAATTTGCAGCGTGGGGTTTGCAATAAGGCTAAACATTTGTTTACATGTGATACTGTGTAACGCTACGTATAAGTGCAGTCTGGTCAAAACAATATATATTTTAGGTATCGGTGGTGGTTGAATTCATAGCTTGTATAGTAACTTATTACTCTGAAATCATTGCTATCAAGATCTAATGTCGAAATGAACGTTAACGCACCTGTGTGTATTAGATACATTGTCTTTGTAGGCTGTGTAACATCAAATGTTTACATAATATTGGATGCTTACGATAAACATTCGTACTGTGATGTTTCTGTGACATTATGTAACATTGTATGCCATTTTGGACATCACTTGCACAAACATTTTGGTGACTAAGATTGTACTTGACTATATAGTGCTGTAAATTTCATTGCCAGCGACGCCTCTCTGTATCACTTTAATGAGTCGGTTATGTTTTGTGACTTGTTTACAATTGAGTTGTGTGGCTGACTGATTGTCATAAATCTTGTGTATTTAAGCTTTATCGTTCTTCATGTGTCGTTTGTAAATATTTGTAATTAATACATGTAATCTTGTTATCAGATTTTAAATTCTGACCTAGACCACACATTTTGCGATATCCTCCACATTATTAATAAGTCATAGTTCAACATATTCAATGTTTTCTTTAAGACGTGTATATGTATTTGTTTCCCCGACCATGTGTATCCCGTATTATACTGTAATTCTATATTGTACAATTCAATCCGATGTCTAGAGAGGAGCTGTTTTAATTTAGTTGTGTAGGGTTTGATTGGACATTTTACAGCTGAGCAATCTTCAGGTGCTTTGATATAACTGTGGAACATGTCTTTTACCCATTCACCCCTAAATTTTTAAACTGGACTTGCCCAGTCTTTGATTTGGTAAGGTTCAAATGTTATTTTAGAGGTAAATGGGTTAACCAAACCCTTTGAAATGTGGAAAGCTCTATAAACCAAACATTCAATAAAGTTCCAGGATTTGTATTTCGATGTTCATGGGATCTGTGGATTCCGTAATCTGACTATTCCGACAGAAAATCATGGTCTTTGTGGTGTTTGATAGGACAATTTTCACAGTGCATCCCAGAATGCTGTGTTCATCAGGAAAAATGGTTATCCTAGATATTTCATTTTCATCAAGATTCCTCTGTATCCATACTTCCTACTATTTATTATTGGTGGTTTTATCACTATTTATCATTAAAAATAGAAGTTCTTGTGATAGAAACACTTTTCATCATGCAGTGTATCAGATATATTTTTCACCTCCAATTTAATATTTTCATATTACATACAAGTCAACAACCAGATATGTCTGCACCAATTAAATACACATAAGTAAAAAAAAACAAGGAAACGATTTATAGGTTTTTCCTAATCAGGTTGTGTATAGACTATCTGGGTGTTAGATTTGTGTGCTGTCATTCCTGTTAAGCGTGTCGCCCCACTTTCTGTTATAGTTATAAGGCAGAGTCTAGGCTAGTTAGTTACATGGGGTTGACCAGATGTAAGGTGAACCTCGTTATGTAGTTGATACAAGGCTTGGGTGAGAGAGGTACATGAATATATATGTATTCTTCATCGTATTAACTTTATGTATGGTCAAGTTTATCTGTAAATAAACATTACAGTGTGGCAATCTTACTTATTTGTGTTGTTATTAGCTCGTTTGAACTCGAGAGAGCAAAATGCCCAGGGACTAGTCGGTAGCCTATGTCAACGTTAAATTTCAATAACATCTTCTCAAGAAGAGTTATACAGATGTTGACCAAATATTTTTTCTTAAATGGCTCTGAAGGTGAGCATTTTTTGTCAATGAAGAGAAATTCAAGATGGCCACTATGACCTCTGTTGGACTTTCCTAAAATAAATGACCTTGACCCATTTTTAAGATCACAAGGGTCAACCGTTTTAAAATACATCTTCACACTGATTTGGTAGAGGGCTTGATGATTTCTTGCACGTCATTCCATCTGGCAAAATTAAAATACTAGTACGTTTTGTAGCAATCTATATCCCATAGTCAACAAAAATATTCTGGAACAAGCTCATTATTAGCTCACCTGGCACGAAGTGCCAAGTGAGCTTATGCCGTGGCGCATCGTCCATCTGTCCGTCCATCCTCGTCTGTCAACTTTTCCTTTAAACAACTTCTTCTGAAGAACGGACAGGCCTAGAGTCATGATATTTGGCTGAAAGCTTCGTTGGTAGGAGCCCTACAAAGTTTGAGAACGAAAATGACCTTGACCTGTTTTCAAGGTCACAGGGGTCAAATATGTCAAAAACTTCAAACGACTTCTTCTGAAGAATTAAAAGGTATAGAATCTTCATATTTGGCTGATGGCTTCCTTGGATGGAGCCCAACAAAGTTTGAGAATGAAAATTACCTTGACCTTCTTTCAAGGTCACAGGGGTCAAATGTGTCAAACACTTCAAACGACTTCTTCTGAAGAACTGAAAGGTATATAATCTTTATATTTGGCTGGTGGCTTCCTGGGATAGAGCCCAACAAAGTTTGAGAATGAAAACTAGTTTGACCTACTTTCAAGGTCACAGGGGTCATATATGTCAAAAGCTTCAAATGACTTCTTCTGAAGAACTGAAAGGTATAGAATCTTTATTTTTGATTGATGGCTTCCTTGGATAGAGCCCGACAAAGTTTGAGAATGAAAATGACCTTGACCTTCTTTCAAGGTCACAGGAGTCAAATGTGTCAGACACTTCAAACGACTTCTTCTGAAGAACTGAAAGGTATATAATCTCTATATTTGGCTTGTAGCTTCCTAGGAAAGAGCCGAACAAAGTTTGAGAATGAAAATGACCTTGACCTTCTTTTAAGGTCACATGAGGCAGATATGTCAAACACTTTAAACGACTTCTTCTGAAGAACTGGTAGTTATAAAATCTTAATATTTGGCAGGTGGCTTCCTGGGAAAGAGCCAAACAAAGTTTGCGAATGAAAATGACCTTGACCTACTTTCAAGGTCACAGCGTTCAAATATGTCAAACAGTTCAAACAGCTTCTTCTGAAGAATTAAAAGGCATAAAATTATAATATTTGGCTGGTGACTTCCCGGGATAGAGCTCACCAAAGTTTGCAAATGAAAATGACCTCAACCTACTTTAGAGGTCACAGAGGTCAACAACATTTTAATGGATTTGTTCTTGAGAACTAAAAGGAATGGATTCATAAGATTTGGCTGGTAGCTTTTTGGAATAGAGCTAACCAATTTGAGAAGGAAAATGACATTGACCTACTTACAAGATCACAGGGAAAAATATGTCAAGCAACTTCTGAAGAAGAATCAAAAAGCATAGAATCTTATAATAATATTTTGCTGGTAGTTTCAACAGATGGAGCCAACAAAGTTTGCGAGGGAAATATTTTTAGTGCAATATAATATTTAATGAGAATATTTTGCTATGACTGGTTAAATATTCAGGTGAGCGATACAGGCCCTCTTGGGCCTCTTGTTAAAAGAGTGGGCACTGACCCAGTTTTCGTGAATGTTCTTTAACATCAGGAAATTTTCATATTTGAAAGCATTGATTTAAGTTAGAAAAATAATCGTCAACTCAGAGAATTTTCTTTAATTTAAACTCCAGCAATGCTGATTTCCGATGGAGATAAAGGCTTAAAATCAATTAATTCACTTGAGGAAGCAACTGTGTTGAAACTGAGGCCTTGACTCGAACAGACATAAAAACAAAAGGCAAGAAATCGGTAGGAATCCAAACAAAAAGTTCGCGATAAAGACGGTTAAATGCAAATTGTTTCTTGCCCAGCATGTGACACCTGCCTTAATATATTCAGTCGAGGTCGGGATGCATGTTAGGTCACCAAAGGATCTAAGTCAAAGATAAGGAGAAATGCCTGGTAATAACCACAGGGACTTGATAATGTGTTTCATTGGAGGGGTATTTTTTTTTATCGAAAGTTGATCTAAAGCCCTCAAAGGTGTAAAATTACTCTCATTACATTATTTTAGGTATAAATACAACTGAAACTAATTCTCAAGTCCCTGTGGTATCAAATGACATTGACGGAACGATGGTTACCATATAACCCAGTATGATAGCGTCATGAATTTCAAGCACTAGGCATAATGACACATAGTGTTCCTATCACGGCATGCAAATGATATTTCTTTCAAAGTTTATGACCGTCGGGGCATGTCGCCTGTTCCTAAGACTTCGCGCGCGCTAGCACACGGACGTTTGGTCCATTGATATTTCGAAAGCAAAACTTCATACCCCTTTCCCTTTCAAAATCCCTGTATCCGCCACTGAGGTCTAAGGTACATCGTTACGTATACTGTTTTGAGATATGTGTCATCTTCAACAAGAACATGCTTTCCTCTGTACCATTTCTTGATAAAAAAAATATCTCGAAAAACAAAATGAAGAAAAATGTCTTAAAAGGTTCCTTAAAATTGTTCACTACTTCATGCCGCACCATGCAAGTATGTAGCCGAAATACAGGGTAATTTGTACAACTCCTTTTTACTGTTAATTACTTTGTTTTCACCAGAGATTGATATTCGCGTCAATTTCGTGAAATTAAATATTTCGCTAATGTTTTCCAGAGTAAATGATATCATCAGTATTGACAAAAGCATCCTCTCGTTCGCAATTGAAGTACATAATTAAAATAATTTAAGTATTTTCACATCTTCAGGTAGGGGAGATCGGGGCACTTCTCTTAGTGCTGCACAGTATTATAAATGTGTTGAAATTTGTGTATTTAAACATCATATGTCTTCTGTCTACAAGTGAGAGTATGTGTGTAATGTCTGTTTCATGTAGATGTAACAAAAAAAATGGAGAAAAAAAATCAAGAGAAAGAAGAAATTCAATGCCTTTCACATTTTTTTTTTTTTGGTGTGAATGTCCCGCTAAGTCAACACTAAGAACTTTTAAGATACTCAAAGTAAATGCTCAGTTGCTCAAGACAAAAAAAATCTGGGATTACCGGACTTACCAAGGGGCCGAACGTGTACCTTTAGGTAAATAAGCCAACGCGAAAAATAACTCTGCACAGCAATCCGGCAACTATTTCATCTGATTTCTGACTCTGGTCCGGGCAAGTGCCACTAGTACAAATCATTGTTCTGCTACCATGCTTATATAATGAATTTTGATATAATGGGGGATAATGCTATTTTTCATAACCGAGAAGTCATGATGAAATCGTTGATCAAGCATAACTGTTAACGTTAGTACTCAAAATGGCCTCGAACTCCGAGGTACCGCTGTCGTGACGCTGAATATTCTTCCAAAACATCGAGTGTAAGGTATTTTGGTGCAAGAAAAAAAAAGGAGATCATAGAAATTATTTAAAAAGAATTACATTGTTATTGCATCGATTGTTATTATATCTTTATCAGAAAACAACAACCTTTATAATAAGAAACCGGAAATTGCTTAGCCTATTTGATTTTTAGACAGATCGTCTGCGTCACAAAGACACTGACGTCATCAATAATTGATGTCACGTGGTTCCTCCATAACAACAAATGCGCCACACGGAAATTTGCGTGCGATATTTATCAGCAGTATTTTGCGATTATTTTTAGAAAATTTACCGAAGACCGTTCTTTTTTATAAAAACTTTACAACAGGTAAGTGGAACATCTTTTATTGACAATAATTGGTCACGTATTTATTTCATAATTGTCAATAGACACTAGAATGCTCTTATATAAGGTGGTTGAGGGGTTGGTCCCGGCACTACCCCTGAAGATTTTGTGGTTAAATCAACAAACAGAAGACAAATCAGAGCAAAGAAGTTCAGTGACTGCATCACGAACAATATCATAACAAAACAGGTCAAAAACATCTCAAAGTGTTTTGAAATCCCGCAAGCCAAAACAGAACGGTACAAGAACTCATACTTTGTGAGAACTGGCATAAACTGGAACCAACTGGATGAGTATACAGTCAGCGCAAAATCAGTCGAGACAGTCAATAAGACCAGGCAGCACCTCCCTCGTCGTTCATCACACCAGAATTGGGCTCTAACGACATACAGATACGATGAGGGTGGTGGGAAGTAGGAGGGGGTTGGATTTTGGCGGCATTCATTCGGCTGATGGTACTGTATGGAACAAGACCCTTTCAACCTAACGATAGAACTCTATTAGTTTTGTTTCCACTATCCATTTATCTATAACGATTATGTAATTGGGATGTAAAATTAAAGCCTGTTACTTAAAGAATTATACTAATTGTCTATAAACATATGTTCCTATAGGGAACGCAATAATATAGTTTATGTCTATCAAAGAGAACTTTAAGTTCTTTTGTTGCAAATATGTTTCTTTCGGTAACTGATAAATACAATAGAAAATGTATATATTTCAGTTGACATGGATGACGCAAAAAGATCTGAGAACGTTCACGTTAACAGTCGGATACCCCGACCATCAAGAGGAAGGGTACCACCCTACCTTGTATCAGCTCCAGTAACCCGTCGAGCTGGAAGCAAGAGGGTGAGTATGTGTTTTAAAACTAAAAGTTTAACAGTTTGCCCGGGGGACCGGGGACAAGGCACGGATAGGTAATCTGTGTATGGCAAGTTTTATGTATAAACAGTAGCCCAAGGGACAGGGAGGAGAGTTGTCCAAAGGAACCGAGAAACATTACTGGAAGTACAGGGGACAGGTTATGACGAGTCTGACAGAAAAAAACCCATTCACCACTTTCTTACTCCTTGTAGGATCTCCCCGGCTAAATACTTACCCCAACCATTTTTGCCTTCGGTCCCTGGACTGCTAAGTAATGTAATTTCTCTGTCAATCTAAATGACCACCTTAAAGTTGGAGGGGAGGGGGTATTTTCTTCAGAGAGAAAGGGAGACCTGGGCAAGGGGAATGGCGGAGCCGGGAAGGATGTGTGAGCGGGGTGAAGGAGACAGAAAAAGCTGGGTACCGGAGGGGTCAGTAGAAGTGGGCTATATCTTTTTGTAGGGGGGGGGGGGGCAATATTCGGATAGGATACAGTGGACCTCCGATTACAGTATGGTCACTTTTAACAAACTGTTGCCCTTTTGGCCTAATCCCGCTGCGGATTTTTTTTCTTAAACGAAATTAAGATAAGCTGACTTTATACCGGGAAAATACAATGGAATTCCATTGTGTTTTGCCTGCAGTGGGAAAGGGATTGTTAATACGGCTGAGCAGTGTGCATTTTTTTATTTGTATTAAGTTAAGTTATCCTCTACACCACACTCAAAACCATAACACTGAACTATTTAACAATTTATGAATGTGATGTTACTTATATTATATATACATGAGTTCCTGGTTCTCCCAATGCTTATCCAGGTTATTTTCAAAAGTGTTTACAGTCGGTGCTAATACCACATTTTCCGGAAGGTTGTTCCATATCCTTACAATTCATAAGGCAATACCATTCTTGCGGATAACTAATCTAGAATTTGGTGGAAATAATCACATTGAATGTTCTTTTATTCCCTGTCTTTGTGATTGATCTTTCCACATCTTAATTTATATATCACGAATAATGTTGGTCCTAGCACTGATCCTTGGGGTACTCCAGATGTTACTTTAGTCCATTTTGAGTTGTCTTCGTTCAATGATACACGTTGCTGTCTGTCGAAAATAAAACTGGACGTCCAGTTCATGATTTCGTCACTTATTCCGTATGAGGACATTTTTCTAAGAAGCCTTAGAAGACTGTGGAGGAGTATCGAACGTTTTTTTGAAGTCTATGTATAATATAAAGTCAATCGCAACTCCATGATCTGACAGTTCGGTCCATTCGTCTAATACTTTAAGACGTTGTAAACTAGAATATCTCCCTGATACAAATCCGTATAGATTCTTTAATAATGGAGAATCGATCGTAATGCATTTCAGAATTTGACTTCTTAAAATTGTTTCTGATACTTAACATACGATGGACGTTATACTGACCGGTCTGTAATTTCCAGGGTCACACTTGTCACCCTTTTCAAATATAGCGCTAATTTGTGCCGTTTTCCAATCATCAGGTACAGTACCTATACTTTCAATGACATATTATACAGTATAGTGATAAAGGTGCTGAAACTGATTCTGCCGTTTCCTTTAGAAACGGGGATGTAGTCTACATAATGTCTATACCTATCTATCTTTAATTAATGTTACAGAGACTCCAGGAGCCAGCGTGTCCCATAAATGCAAAGGACCCGAAAATTGTGGAAAAAATAAACGACTGGCTGTCGGGTTTAAGGAGAAAAGTAGACGAAGAGCAAAAAACGAGTTCCTCTGGTGAAATGTCCCCGACACACTCCGAGGGCTCACAAGTTTATGCTGACAGGGTTTCGTGCCTAGACCAACAAAACGACAAATACAAACGACGAATCAAAAGTCACAGCAAGTCAAAAAACGCCCGACGACGCCAGCAAAACAATGTATATCAAAACACTGAGTGTAGCTCACCGAACACTACAAATAGCCCCGCAATCGGTAGCTATAGTCAGCCAAGTCTTGGTTATAACGACCAATACGTGGACAAAAATGATCAAGGTTACAATTTCAATGACCAAGGTACTAGCCTTTTCGTGTTTAGTGCAAGCTACCAGAATCCAAATAGTGCTTGTAACGAATCACAGGGAAGTAACACCACTGAGCTTAACAAGGAACGAGACACCCCGGAACCTATTGATCTTGTTGCTTCGGTAAGGAAAAACAGAAGTTTTCCACTCGCTATTGGTTCATCTTCACTCTCGTAAACTGGTACCTGCGTTAAACAAATGTTTGTCCAGCATCTGATGCTGTTATCAGTGTTAATTTAGAAACCCTTTGACTTTATGTTCTGTTTATTTTGTGATTGTGTATGCACGTTGATACTTTTGCTTCATGTTCTATTGCACCTGTCATTGTTTCCTTGCTTTCTGTTTGTGTAATTACATATAATAACCATTTTCTTTCCTCTTCTAATTTTTTTCTTCTCTCTCTTTGTTCTTTATCCTCTCCATTTCTTACTCTTCTTCTGTCTGTCAACTTCACACCTCACAGAAGACGTACATGTATGTTTTGTCTGACCACGAGGAATCATCACCAAAGAAAAGAAAGAAACGGTAAAGGCAATTTATTACAAAAATGTCTGATTAAATCATTTTACGTTGATTTTCCCACAGGAGCATCTTCCTACATTATAATAAATGTATGTGACAGTCACACGTTTTAAGCGTATTTCAATCATTTCAGTAGATCGGTGAATTCTCGTAAAATTGATTTGTATTTTTTATTCACAGATCGAAGAAGAAGAAGAGGAAGGAAGAGTGTTGTCATAGAAACAAGAAAGGAAACAACAAACATTCATCAGAAGAGAAAAAATCGGGCGTTTTCTACAGCGAGCCAAACAGTCAACCGGAAACTGGCGCAGAGATCGCTGAGCCGCTTTGCCCTGTAGCCACGGTAAATATCGAAACATTCACATCTTGTTATCTAAATATAATAGATATATGAACATAAATTCTCTTTCCTTTCTATCTCTATCCTTTCATTAATACATATATGTTTTGTTGCAATGTGTTTGTGCTTCGTCGTCTACCACGTTATGTTTAGCAAATAATCTCTGTTTTTATTTGTGTATATTATCTGTTTCTTTATATCTTTCATTCTTTTGATTGTCTTTCTTTCTGTGTTTTCTACTTTCTTTTCTTCAATCCTCTTTTTATGTTGTCCGGCCTAACAGAAGACATACATGTCCGTTTTTTCTGACCATGAGAAAATTCGAAAGAGAAGGAGAAAACGGTAAGAACAGAACATACATTATGATATTGTATCAGAGACGATACGTATTGTTATAGGCAGGATATTTATTATAACATGCAAGATACTTACATTTACAAAACTTATTTTATCATACACGAAACTTATTGTAGCATGCACGAAACTTATTGTAGCATGCGATATATTTATCGTAACATGCACGATAGTTATTGTAACATGCAATATACTTAATTAAACATCTACGAAACTTATTTTAACATACACAATGCTTATTTTCACATACACGAAACTTATTATAGCATGACCGATACTTACTGTATTATGCAAGATACATGTTGTATGAAATGTGTTTTGACATGCAAGATGTTAATCGTAATAGCACGATACTTTAATAACATGCATGATACTCATTGTAGCACGCACTACACTTATTGTAACATGCACGATACGACTTGTAAAATGCAAGATAAATATTGTAACATATACATTACAAGTTGTATTGTAAAAAAATCTACACGTGCTGTAACATGCACGATACGACTTGTAAAATGCAAGATAAATATTGTAACATATACATTACAAGTTGTATTGTAAAAAAAATCTACACGTGTTGTAACATGCACGATGCTTATCTAAACATGCGCGGTGTGTAGTGTTACATTTACGATATGTAAAATGCAAGATGCACGATATTTTTTGTAACATATGCATGACACTTATTACATTATAACATGCATCGCCTGTCGGAATTATTTACCTCCGCTAAGAACATTTATTATGTATTCAATTAATGGTCATTTGTATGTAATGGGTATATTTTTATTTATTGCATATATTTGAAGTAACCGTAATGCTTTGATACAGCGAGATATTTATGAACTGAAATATCTCTGCTACAAATCACATGTATACAGTTTAATTTACTCAAACCTATTATCCTTAAATGTGGAATATAATATCAATAATTATTCATATCAAGAAAATACTGTTGATTTTTTTTGTGTATATATATTTTTTTATAAACTTCACTTGTATTTCACCTCCACGAAACAGTTCGAATAAAAAGAGGAAAGCGATACGCAGCCTTGGTAGACAGGAAGTGACGTCACAGGACAACGACCTAGCTCGTGCTGCTAGGGTAAGTAACATTAATTTGTGCAATGGTCATCATTGGTGTGTCTCTCATGTGAGTTAGACGATATTTTGAGCAGTTGTTAAAAATGACATTTTCAAGTATTTTGAGGACTTATTTAAAAAATAATTTAACAAAACCTTAAAAGACATATGTTCAGTTTCACTTTGACAAAGTTAACCGGCGTTCGGTTTCTTAAACGCATCAACAACGTATATTTTCGTGCACAGAACATATACATTCGACACTTGTTATTTGGAAGAAGTTGGAGCCATAAACATAGTTAGAGTTTGGCATTAGAGGAGTTCGACATGATATTAAAGATATTCTTACCAGGATTAATTTTATAGAAATTAACATCCAGATTACCAAGTTAAGACCTCGAAATAGAAGAGGATATGGGGAATTGCTATAGAGGGTGTTATAATAGGTTTCGCTCTATTTAACGGGTTCTTTCGCGGTGGCCAAGTGGTTAAAGCGTCTGACATTCTGCTGCCACTGGCCCTCTACCACTGGGTCGCGGGTTCGAGGCCGACGTGGGGCAGTCGCTTGTTACTGACCGTAGGTCGGTATTTTTTTCCCCGGGAGCTCCGGTTTTCCTCCAGCACCAAAACCTGGCACGTCCTTAAATGACCATAGCTGTTAATAGGACATAAAACACAAACAAACCAAACCAAATCTTTCTTTAAAATTGTTGTCAGGCCCTGCAATAACAGAGCTTGAAGAACGTTCTCAGTGCTTAAAATCATAATGTTTTTGGAACTGTACTTCTTTAAAAGATAATTGAAAAAAATAAAACATGTATTTATGCACAAAACCACTTCTCAACCAGCTTTGAACATTGAATGGATTGTACATTCATATTGCTAATACTAAAGTTTGGGAATAGTCAATTACTATCAGTATCTAAATGGAATTGACATACATCGGTACTTCAAACCTGCAATTTACCAATGGTGCTATCTAGAAATAATCAGGAAATTCAATTGCAGTTTCAAAATGAAAAATGAATACATTGACATGGGAAGTAAAAAGAAAAGCTATCGAACTGGAACTCTTCTTCCATAGTTTACCTGATGCAGCGGTACTTTCCCCCTTAACAACGGTCTTAGAGCTAGGGGGCTTTGTAATACCGCGGTGTGCTTTAGATATATTGGATATTACTATTTTGAAAGTCATCCGTTTATTTCGTTTTCAGGAGAGGTTACGACTGGCCGAAATAAATGTCCTTTGCTACCGACTCGGTGAGCTCACATTGGACAGCTGCCAACCGGACAGAACTACCGGAGTAAAACGTAAACATGAACCTGTTCCTCGTGGGGACATGCCCAGGTGTGATGTTGATAGCCTCGATGTGAAAATCAGAAAACTAAGCATCGGTTAAATTTTTGATACAGACCGAGGAAAAATAAACCGAGTAACGGTCATGGATAGCCTCGATTGGAATATCAGCCATCTTATCATCGAATCAGACAGCCCGGGAAACATTAACTGAACTAGGGGCATGCAACACAAAAGCATGTTTGATAACCTTGACGTGAATATCAGAAAGCGATTACATGTTACTTTACATGTTTACATTCCAATATAATTGTTTTTCTTCGGTGATGTTCTTATCTTAATATGAATATCAGAAATGTATTGAATGTGGCTTTACATGTCTACATTCAAAAAGACGTTATTTTCATCTTAGATATTTACAGACGTCAACAATCCGGTATGCTTTTACGTCTCCGATATCTACAATATCTATATACTTATAAGTTTTGTAGTCGTTTACCAATGTGCGATTTCTCGATCTACTCATGTTTTATATTTAACGTTAGTTTCAGTATTTTGTTATTTTTTGATGTATTGATTCAATATTGAATACCTGCCTTCCTCGTATTTAATTCATCAACAAAGAATTACATCTGTATCTATAGTATACCCGGAATACTGAATAAAGATATATATATATATATATATATATATCATTGTATATGTATTACAAGTAATAAACTCTATTTTATTAAAAAAATAAAGTTCTATTCGGTGTTTTATCTCTCTTATTACTCTTTGGCGGTTGTTTGAACGTGGAATCCCACAGTGGGGAACGAAATGATGTATTTCAGAAATAAAAAAACCGACAATTTGCTGCGTTGCTGAATAATATCCAAAGATGTACGTAAGCTGCGGACCTTGTATGTTACGATGCATTGAATACTATTAGCCTTTGGTTTACCGTTCTAGACTCAATATGTGAAACAATTGTTTCTATAGTATATTACTTTCAATTGAGCCTGGACAAGCTAGATGTTCCTGTATCAAAAGAGGCTACTCAATGGAAATTAATAACTGTTACATACTTTTTTTAATAAAACATGACGCACATACGATTATCAAAAGACATTAAATAAATATCTTGCATATACATAAAATATACATAATTACATAACCTAATATGTCAAACACCAATCGACCCATTGGATTGATGTTTATTAGATTACAATTTTATTTTTCCTTTCATTTATTTTCCTTGCAATATTCATAGTACCAAGGATAAGTATTGCATAAGCGTTGACCACTATACCTGATACAACAGTGGGCGTACATGTGCTATGGACTAAAGGCACCGAATGTACGTATTGACATCGTGTCAATACGGCGAACTGGAAAAAAACCTATTTGGTGCTTAATTAGCGTTCCTTACGTGCAAAACCTTTCATAATCACAACTAACATTCGACACCTGAGTTTTAAACTTAAACTGAATGAAAATCTCATATAAGCAAATCTTGAATGCATAAGATCTGGATAATGAATAATGTAACGTGTCAACCCATGTATTTTGGAGTTATCTCCCGTTGTGATCTTTGAACTCGGAAATACCCAGATTATTAAGCCTACCAGGAACTACACAGCCGATCACGCCAACATCTACAAAGGTCAGCATTTAACGAAATTATGTAGTTAATAACGATACTCTGTTATTGTCATATCTATAGTTGTTATTTTTGATAATTTAGATAAAGATTTTCAGTTTAAACGTCTACGTTTAGACTTCAAACACAAAGAATGTTGTACAAGCATGACATGCAGTGGACTATATTGTAGGTGGACCCTCCTCCTAATTGACCATATAAGATATAGAAATCAACGAGATTGAAAACCGTTTTTATTAACATTTTGACTGATATTGTAACGGTGTTGCTAATTGTCTACATATCATATCAAATTTAAACTACTAAGCGTAACCAAGGTAGGATATCCCTATAGTACTGTACCTCATGACCTTAAATTCTAACCGAATGACATGTCTGAGCACATGTGCTTGTATTAGAAATTAATTTTCCTTCGACACTACACCCCCTCCCCCCTACCGTCTATCAATATTAAGTTATATGAAATGGGGGAGTTCGATAGTGGACAGCGAGTTTGGTCTGAAGAGGGGTTCCTGTGGTTTCACATAACTCCATATAAATACGAACTCGGGAGGAGTCTACTAAACAAATAGTAAGTCTGTCAGACAGACAAACCAACGTGTTCTCAGCAGATCCGTATTGCTGGCCTCTCACCCGCCCTTATATAATGGGGTTTTTTTAATGTTGAAAAATATCCATTAAACAAATTTTCCCCATTGGCTTGTGCTTCGTATAAGACCAATTACCTGTCATTACCCATAGTAATACGTGTCGGCTAGCCCGGTATTATGTAGGTCTGGTACTTATTGATCTGTTTATGTGTTACTACACACACGCGGTACGCTTTGTAACTACCTGTACTGCTCATTCAATAAACAGCACAATGCCTCATTGCACTCGCATGTAGATACGTTGGTTGAGGTTGAAGCAGGTTACACTTTTATTATTACATATTCTCAGTAATCCAGCCGTTTCACTTCCGCGTACAAAAACGCAATAGAAACGGCTATTTTATTGGGTCAGTAAATTGTACTACTGGGAAATAGTTATGTCAAGTATTGGAAACTTTGGTTAAGTTGTAAAATATAACTTTTTTATAGTTCACATTAAGGCCCTGCTAAAGTCCCGTGTCAGTAATATTGTATTAAAATGTAATCATATCAAAATGTTTCAGTTATCCAGCCGATAAATGTTATCAACATCAATTTTTATATCTCAAACATTGGAAGCATTTGTTCAGTTCTAAAATATGACTTGTTTCTGTTTTACAGCAATGTCCTGATATAAACCTAAGATGGCCGAAGCCTCCCCAACACCAGAATACAAGTGTTTGTTGTGCATGAAGCCGTACAACCAACCGAGGGAGCTACCGTGTAACCACACATTCTGCTGCCCGTGTCTGACGTCATATATCAATAAAGAACACAGGACTGCAGACGAGGACCGTCACTACTTTCCATGTCCAGTCTGTGACAAACCAACTAGCCCACGTGACGTCAACACGGATGTAAACACCTGCGGGACCTCGTTTCCCATAAACAATCTCTTCATCAACCCCACAGTAAAGACGTCGGATGACGAGAACTGTGAGGCTTGTCAAAGGGTAGGAGAATCGAATCCTTCCGTTGTCTGGTGCACTGACTGCGCTGAATTGCTCTGTAAACAATGTAGAAGTTTTCACGAACGGATCAAAGTGTCAGCAAAACACCGACTTGTTCCCAGCAAAGATAGAGGATTTGGCGATGCAAAGGTTAGCGAAAACTGTCCAATTCACGAAGGACGGCCCTTGGATGTTTACTGTCTTGATCACAGCTCTATGTGTTGTGGTATATGTGTGTCCGTTTCACACAAAAATTGTAATCGCATCAAACCAATAGATGACGTGATCAAGACAAGCGTCACCGGACAACCTTCACCTGACACAGCATGGGAAAATATCAAAGATGAGGCAACGACGATGTTAGAGGACGATGAGTCTGAGATGACCTTATTGAACTCAAAAGAAAAGGAAGTAACAGTGGAGGTGGCGCGAATAATACAGCAAGCCAAAGACAAGCTTGATGGTCTCAACATAACGTTTAAATCGGAACTCGCGGATAAATGCAACACACTCAGAAAACAGGTTTCTGATCGAATGAATTGTGTAAAGAAATTCCGCACAAATTCAGAAAATTCCAATATTTTGATGACTCGTATTGACAAGCAGGGGACGGACCGTCAGCGATTCATCACGAGAGAGAAAACGAAACATCAGATGTCGGGACATTATCGCCGCATGGATCAAAACACCAAGAAGCAGCCTAACACGTTTGACCTGAAACTCAATATAGGAACTGTTATCGACGACATCTTGAAATTGACATCCATTGCGAAAGTTGACGTGACATCGAAAATATCATCGACATCACGGAAAGCGGATTCACGTATCGGTACCTTGCTAGCTACTCTGATGGCAAAACCTTCAGCTACAACATTTGCCGACTCTACTTCAGCGTCCGACCTCGTCGGATCTCCAACTCAAGGACCGGCAACAGTGGATGTGTGGACTGGTTCCGTATCTTGTGTACTCTCGGTCGACAGACGTTCACTGGCAGGAGAAGAAACGCCTTTCTTTACAGGAGGAATGTTTACTGATAACGATGAGTTACTTGTCACAGATAACTACAACTGCAGACTCGTGTTGTTTGATGACAAGTATCGCTACAAGAGAGAATACAAAGTAAAAAGAAACCCATATAATGTAACGCGTGGACTTAATATTGATGAGATACTTGTTAGCATTGGAGAAGGTGGATTTATGAGATGTACACTACGGAACGGTCAGCTAACCGTAACGGAAACAATCAGCTGTACCACCTATGGAATAGCAGTTCTCGGAGATAACATACTAGTTGGTATTCGGAATAATGTGGAAGTAATGTCATCAGATGGGAAATTTAAAAAGTCAATACAGAAGAAGTGTGGGAGCGTCACACATCTTGCTACATCTACATCTACGTCAACGTTTTACTACAGTGATGGTAATGACATCGTGTGTAGACGACTAGACAGCGACGTGGAAGACTACAGATACAGTGACCCTGGTCTGAGTGATCCTCGTGGTATCGGACTGGACCGTGACAACAATGTATATGTGTGTGGATCTAACTTTGGCAATGTTTACATTGTTTCACCTGACGGGTCACGGGGGAAGGTACTAGTTCCCAGTCTCTCTAGTATCACCAGTCCATACGGGATAATTGTCCATCCCACCAAACAGGAGTTCGTAGTCACATCCAACATGGAGGCTACTTCACTTGAGGTGTACAGATTCGGTGACAATGCCGGAGTTATTCAATGAACACATTGGTATCATTTAGGTGGTATTCGTTGTTTGTTAAAAAGATAAAAACGACCGTAAATGACACATCAAGGGTTTTTGTTACTGGACAATATATTTCAACGTAAAGACCTCTGGCACATCGTGATGTTAAGTTTATTTCCAGTTTTCAGATAAGGAATGAAATTTATCAAATCTGGGGCAAATCGACAATTGTGTGATCAGAATGACAGCAACTTTGCCACCCATTTTATGATATAAGAAAAGATCTTTTAAGTTCGTGTACAGTTCCCGAATACTTCCTTTTTATATCCTTCAAGTACACTGTACCTGATAGATTTCAAAGTTCCTGATGGTTCATGTGTAGTTCATGAATAGTTCATGTTAAAGTAAGGTAGCAGTGTACAGTAGCGTACGATGGCCATGGGTGATATTTTTATACAATGAATGACCCCTGTAATATAACATGTATCAAAATTTAAAAACAAAAATCAGCACTAAAATTTGCATATACATGAGGAAGTTGACTATGTGGGCTTCATAATTTTTCAAAAAAATATATTCGAATTTGGTTTGAGACTACAGTTTTGGGCATTTACAAATCTGTGTCTACACAACAAAAGCTAGCTTTTCATGTTGTCTATTTTTGTACTCGGCACATGTGTAAATATTGTGAAAAATCCACCGGAATGACCTATGCTAAAACGTGAGTATTTCTGTTACCGAGTAGGCGACATTTAATTTCAGACAGGTTTTAAGAAAAACAATTCTACTTGCGGTGGTCAATTTTTGGGTTAAAAATCATGATATTTTGCTTATTTTGGTCTTTTTTGATGTGGTAACCATGGATTTCACAAGTCCCAAATCTGGGGAAAACAGTTTTTGAAAAAAAAAAAATGTTCTTAACAAAATGAAATCAAAATGTAGTTTATAAATATGTATATATATGTAGGTGTGTTGTGCAGGTTGAATTCACTATCCATGTTTATGTGAGACATGCCCTTTATATTTTGGGTCAAGCCATTTCTACTGTACACTGCTACCCAAAGATTCTGAATATTCCGTTATTTCTTGTTAGATCCTATGATGTTCTTGCATACTTTCTAAATAAATCCTATGAAATTTCTGAAAAAGTAAATGTGAAGTGTCTGATAGTTCAAGTATAGTTCCTGTGATAATTCTGCGTAGTTCCTGGGAAGTCAATGTTAGATTCACTTAAACTCAATAAAAGTTCCTGTTTGTTCCTATAAAGCTCCTGAATAGTTACTGCCAGGTTTTGTGGATCTAAAGTTAGTTCTAGCAAATTGTCTAGGAAATTCCTGTTAGACATTCTGCACTTCCTAGTTCTTATTCGTTATTATGAAATTACTGTTTAGATGCTATTACGTTACCGCGACGTTTGTGTTACGTTCCGGAATAGCGTTGTTGTGTTACAGATTAAGGGATGTTTTGCTTTGCTGTAGCAGAGCTGTTTGTGCAGAACTACAGAAGTATCAGGTGTTACCTATTCATGTAGCTGTTGTACCAGAGAAAGCTCATCTAATCAATTGGAGCCTTGCAATATGTATTTTTATATTTTATATAAATAACAGATAAAGCTTTAAATTGACATCGGATTTAGTATTTATCCAGATAATTTTTATATTTTACAATATTTTTTTTATTTGAATTCCCATAATAGCAGGATACCTGTTTATTTCTAATGACATTTATGCTAAAAAGTATACATATTTATACGTATATGATCATGTCTTACGAATTCAGATACCACCTCCGGTCACCAGTGTTATGAGGCTCAAGCGTACGTAATGGCACCCTGTCAGATAACCTCTACCTCTCTTGACGCCTATAAGAACTTGAGGTTTTATCGAAAGAATTCGGGTTTTCGCGTCACCGTGTCGTCTGATAACTATTGCAAGATGGATATCAGAATATATTGCTTTGTTTTCATATTGTGATAAGGTGAATGAGTAGTTACGTTCGTTTGCGTACACAAGTGTTTTATACGTGTGGTACCTAGTTCTCGTTTTATTTAAATGAATTATTTATATCCGCTCTTTGAGGTGTTTCTAATTTTTAATTTGGGAATGAAACAGTGAACTGTTTTCCCTTTAACTGAAACATGCGCAATTTGTATGCGCATCAGAACATAATACTGGTTTTTTTTTCTCTCGTGTAAACGTTAACGTTCGTGATATTGAGAATCGGCAGACATTTTGTTTTAACTAGAGGGTTGCCATTGCGAGGACGATTTGCGTTTGTTGTTTGGAAGCGGAATCAGAACATTTTCTGTGCATACCCCCTATTATTAAATAATTACAAGGTATAAATGATGATGTCATTATTATGAAGTCTAAACTTGATTTATTTTACGAAAGTTATGATCAAGTTATACATGTTGGTCCGGATGTTTTAACTCGGGGGTCTTAATTTAGAAGGAAACTGGAGTTCCCGGAGAAAACACAAGTAGTTTTTTCCAATGTTTATAGCGAGAAAAGTGTAAATATAGGAATACTTAATTTAAATGAAAGAAACAGACAATTGTATACTGGAATATGTTATAGGGAGAGAATATCAAATAGTGATTTACGAATTGTAAGTAATACAATCTGAATTTGATCAGATAAGGCTGAAAAAATGGAAGCATTATTAGCCTATACTAATATCAACTGATATTATTAATTTTGAAACATTTCCACAGTTTCATTCAATTAATATATTACTTTGAGATAGAGTTACTACATGTGATGTGTTAACTGTTTTAATGTCAATATCCGATGAAATTGTTTCAAAATTTTGTGTCTTTCCGACCAAGCCTGTTTAAATTCATTGTTAACATGACAGTACTGACCCACCTGATACCTATAAGAAGGGAAATACGGACAAAAATGATTGAGGTGGTTACTGAAAAGGCTTGTTTCCTGGAATATGATGGACATTGTGTAATGCATGTCAGGGATGTGTATACTGTCCAGCTGGGTCATCACTGTTGTTCATATTGTTATTTCTGATTTGCTGCGTATTAGCTAACATACATTTATCAATTATAGACTTTTGTTGAGGTGAATACGTGGTCATATGAGCCTGAAAAAGCGATATTGACCGAGACGAAGTAGTGGTTGATATCATTTTTCAGGTTTATTTAACGCATATTCATTCTAGTAAAATGTCTCTTTTGTTATATTAAATATGAAATTATTATGTTTAACAGAGCTTTTTGATTTAAACATTTAAGTAACGTCATAAAAGGAATATTGACCTGGTGTTTCTACAAATAGTTACATCGAGTCAATGTCGCAAGTTACTTACCTCCACATGATTATGATGTATCCAATGTGTTTATTAGAAGAAATGATATCATCTAGCATATTTTGATAAAATACCCCTTAAAAGCCATCGAATCTGACATCAGCTTTCGTGACCTATGGCCCCTCTGGATGATATCATGATTATTGGACTGATCAATGGTATGCTATTATAAAAAGTTAAAACGAAAGTAAGATATCATCAATAATACTAACTAAGGTCATAGGTCGGTGTCATCAATAGCACTAACAAAGGTCATAGGCCGGTATCATCAATAATACTAACTAATGTCATAGGCCGGTATCATCAATAATACTAACTAAGGTCATACTAACTATCATCAATAATGTATCACTTTGAATGGAACATTCTGCACGAAATAAATTACTTGGATATACGACTTAAGATATTTTATGGTTTTTTTTAACTCACGCTGTATATTCAACTATTAGAGATGGTAGTAATTTTATGTCGATTTTCCAAACGAACACATGTAAATTTCTGACTTCACAACCCGTCTGGTTCTCAAGAGTGTAGTTCATTCTTAAATAACATGTCGTCTTTACTACAAGATGATAATTGGTCTATCAAAAGAACCAAATAAGTTAGTTCTGGTTATGGGCAGTTGAGCACCCTGTGATCCAGATTTTCACAATCAGTTCGTATTTACTTCTGTCCGAATTATCAAGGTCACCGTCTGCCGTACTATGGCGTCCGTCTGCCGCATGTCAACAGTTACAACAACTTCTTCTACAAGTATAAGCATCCCTAGGTGGTGGGTCATAATAACGGTATAAATGGCCCCCGAACTGATATTTCAACTCTCATATTAGGTATATACAATCAAAAGGGTTGTACAATAATTTCCATCGACCAAATAAAAACGAACGTGAGAAATCATCAATAACAGATCGGTTGGACTTGAACAAACAGGCACTGAATGAATAACTCAGATCTATGACTTTTGCCAGTTTGTTTGTTTGTCTAACAATGAAATTCTCCACACTGTTATACATTCACGATATTAAATATTTCTTGACATTTCTTAACATGACATTTATAACAACAAATAAAATATGAAAGAAGTAACCCGTTGCTTAAAATATTGTGCTGGGTAAGGCTAAAATTGTTGTCGTTAGAAATGGAGGTAATTTACGAAATGAGGAGACATGGTTCTATGACGGAAACAAAAGTAGAGGTAGTGGAACAGTTTATTTATCTCGGAATTATTTTTAAAATCAATAATGATTTAACGTTAGATCAAAGCAATTGTCCGAGTTAATCTGCCCTACTAAATTTAACATTTGTCTGAATAACACAAAGTGTAAAAATATGAAATAAGCAACGCTGAAAGGTAATATTGATGTCAAAATATGAAATCAAAATGCCATACTTTAGTAAAGCTGTTTGATACATTTGTTTGTTTGTATTTTACGTCCTTTTTAACAGCGCTATGGTCATGGTTTGGTGGTGGAGGAAAATCTGCATATGAGAACTCTTAGATATGTCAAGACAGAATAGTGTATTTTAATTTGATGACTTTTGTGAAAGGTGTTTGCGTCAGTGAGGTAACAATCTAAAGTTTATATCGGACTGGTTATCGCAAAGAGTAAAATATACCAGGTCAAGTATCAGCACACTCACGTACGTGACTGATCATGACTGTAGACCAACTAACTTTAGGAAGGTCGAAACATCCAGTAACGATTGTCAATTATCTGAGGATGTCTCACAGACCTATTGGAGCCAAACTTGTCTAAAACAAAGGCTATCAGCTGTAAGTAAGTCATCAGCTGTAAGTAGGTCATCAACTAAGTAAGTCATCAGCTGTAATTAAGTCATCAACTAAGTAAGCCATCCGCTATAAGTAAGTCATTAACTAAGTAAGTTATTAGCTGTCATTTAGCAGTTCAAGTATCAGCACACACTCATACGTGACTGATCATTACTGTATACCAACTAACTGTAGGATGAAGTAATTAGAAGGTCGAAACATACAGTTTCGATTGTCAACCATCTGAAGATTTCTCAGAGACCTACTGGAGTCAACTTGTTTTGAGACAAAGACTATCAGCTGTTAGTAAGTAATCAGCTGTAAGTAAGTCATCAACTAAATAAGTCATCAACTAAGTTAGTCATTAGCTGTCAGTACGCAGTTCAAGTATCAGCGCACACATGTACGTGACTGATCATTACTGAAGACCAACTGACTTTAGGGTGTAGTAATTAGAAGGTCGAAACATCCAGCTACGATTGTCAACCAGTTACGATTGTCAACCATCTGAAGATGTCTCAGAGACCTACTGGAGCTAAACTTGTCTCAAACAAATACTATCAGCTGTAAGTAAGTCATCGGCTGTAAGTAAGTCATCAGCTGAAAGTTGGTCGTCAACTAAGTAAAACATCAGCTGTCAGAAGGTCATCAACTAAGTAAGTCACCAGCTGTCAGTAAGCCATCAGCGTTAAGTAAGTCATCAGCTGTTAGTACGCCAACAGCTATAAGAAGGTCATCAACTTAGTAAGCCACCAGCTGTAATTAAGTCATCAGCTGTACGTAAGTCATCGGCTGTCAGTTAGCCATCAGCCGTAAGTAAGTCATCAGCTGTATGTAAGTCATCTGCAGTAAGTAAGTCATTAGCCGTAAGTAAATCATCAAGTGTAAGTAAGTCTTTATCTGTCAGTAAGTAGTCAACTAAGTAAGTCATCAGCTATCAGTAAACCATCAGCTATAAGAAGGTCATCAACCTTAATAATCCACCAGCTGTAAGTAAGTCATCAACCATATACAAGTCTTCAACTAAGTAAGCCATGAGCTATCAGTAAGTCATCAGCTGTCAGTAAGACATCAGCTGTCAGTAAGAAATCAGCTGTCAGTAAGACATCAGCTGTAAGTAAGTCATCAACTAAGTAAGCCATCAGCTGTGAATAAGTAATCAGCTATAAGTAAGCCATCAGCCGTAAGTAATTCATCAGCTGTCAGTAAGCCATCATCTGTAATGAAGTCATCAGCTGCATGTACGTCATCAGCAGTAAGTACGTAATCAACTATGTAAGTCATCAACCGTCAGTAAGTCATCGGCTGTCAGTAAGTCATCAACTAAGTAAGCCATCAGCTGTAAGTAAGCCATCAGCTGTAAGTAAGCCATCAGCTGTCAGTAAGTCATCAACTAAGTTAGTAATCGGCTGTCTGTACGCCATCAGCTATAAGAAAGTCATCAACCTTAATAATCCACCAGCTGGAAGTAAGTAATCAACTATAAGTAAATCACTTACTAAGTACGCCATCATATGTGAGTAAGTCATCAGCTATAAGTAAGTCATCAGCTGTCAATAAGCCATCAGCTGTCAGTAAATTCATCAGCTGTCAGTAAGCCATCATCTGTAAGTTAGTCATCAGGTGTAAGTAAGTCATCAGCTGTAAGTAAGTCATCAGCAGTAAGTAAGTCATCAGCAGTAAGTTAGTAATCAGCTAAGTAAGTAATCGGCTGTCTGTACGCCATCAGCTATAAGAAAGTCATCAATCTAAATAATCCACCAGCTGGAAGTAAGTAATCAACTATAAGTAAATCACCAACTAAGTACGCCATCATCTGTGAGTAAGTCATCAGCTATAAGTAAGTCATCAGCTGTCAGTAAGTCATCAACTGAGTAACCCATCGGCTGTAAGTAAGTCATCAGCTGTAAGTAAGTCATCAACTGTAAGTCATCAACTGAGTAACCCATCAGATGTAAGTTAAGCATCAGGTGTAAGTAAGTCATCAGCAGTAAGTAAGTCATCAACTAAGTAAGTCATCAGCTGTCAGTAAAGTCATCGGATGTCAGTAAGTCCTCAACTGTAAGTAAGTCCTCAACTGTAAGTAAGTCATCAACTGAATAACCCATCAGATGTAAGTAAGTCATCAGATGTAAGTAAGTCATCAGCTGTAAGTAAGTCATCAGCTGTCAGTTGGTCGTCAGCTGTACGTAAGTAATCAACTAATTAAGCCATCAGCTGTAAGTAAGTCATCATTTCCTTCTTTATTTCTTGTTTTGAATTAAAATAAATGTTATGACTTGTTTACATCATAGTACTGAATATATATCTGAAAATTAACGCACCATTGAGTTTGTCTGCGAGACATATGGCAGTTTACCAATAGGTCTGGCACATGTGTGCAGTTCATTGTTTAAATGCCAATGGCACATCCAAATGCTAAGTTCATTCATATACCTATGTCATGCAGAGTTAAAATTCTTTTGTTGAGTAAGATGTTTTTTAACTTGCTAAACCACAAATCACCGCAAACATATCTTAACCAATAATATGTGAAAACGAGGGCCATGTGACCTTGATTAACACTTTTGGTTTTATAACTGCCATAGGTGACGCTGACAAACTTTATGATGCGCTAATTTTGTCTGCGCTTTTAATGTATAAAAAGTGCAATTAGGATCTATGTTCCCCTTCAATTCAAAACTTTCTGTTGTAATCGACATCTCGGTTAATGCCTAGAAAAGCAATAGAAGCACAACTTAAGTCACGCGCTGTTTCTCGCACAAAATCGGAACACAAAACAAAACTCTCAAATCCGATTCATTTGTTTTGAGTTAAAGAAAATTAATCATATTTGAAATTAATGTTATAATCAGATGTGAAAGAGCTATGATATAAATCTAGAATGACCATATCATCTTGTAGCGAACGCATTAACCACAAATAACTTACAGTCCAACGTTTTAACAGAAATTGTTTTAGATATAGAATTCAAAAGTCATTCTTTAATTTTTTCACAATCCACAATTAATAGGTGTTACTACGTCAATAAACATTGTTTTACTTAGATTAGTATGGTGGTTATATGTTGTTTGAAACGTTGAACAGATTATGAATATTTTGTTTAATTTCCAGTGGTGATTCTGTGTAGTTCCTGTAAAGTCAAGGTTAGATAGATTCACTTTGATGGAATTAAAGTTTCTTTTAATTCCTACAAGGCTCCTGAATAGTTGCTGTCAGTTTCTGTGAATCGGAAGTTAGTAATTCCTGTTTGACATTCTGCACTGCCGAGTTCCTATTTGTTCTTATAAAATTCATGTGGTATTATATAGTTCCTGTTAGATAAACTGTGAAATTTCTGTAAAGCACCTTGATAATTCCTGTGTCGTTCCAGATTTCGGTTTTGGTTTTGCCCTGCAGTTGCAGCACTCCTTGTATAGAACTACAGTTGTGTTAACTGTTACTTATACATGTAGCTGTTGTACCATAGAGAAGCTCATCCAATCTATTGGAGCTTTGCAATATGTATTTTTATGTTTGATATGTTTTTCTCATATAAACATAAACGTTTACGGGATTGAGATTTGGCAGACGATTTTTTTCTTTAACCCGTTGCTATGGCTAGGACGATTTGGACGTTTGTTGTTAAGAAGCGGGATCGGAAAGTTCTTGTACATAGCCGTTTTTGTTGAATAACAACATAAGTCGTTATGATGATGTCATCATTATTTTAGTATGAACTTTATTTATTTTACAACAGTCATGAATCAAGTTATATAATCTTATATTAATCACTTTTGCTGGAACGGATGTTAGCACTCGGAGATCTGAAGGTTGCAGGAGACTTGAGAACCCGAAGAAAACCCCCACGTGGTCGGGCGGCAGATAATCCCATACTTTGTCACGTCCAATCGGGGAATCGAACCCCGACAGTCTTGGTATTTGCGAGTACGCTATCCATTGCGTCACACAACCAAATGCAGCGACCTGGTTCGAAGTTTTATAATCAAGATTTTTTTTATATAATTATTAATTGAAATAAATTATAGGGAGATGATATAAAATATTGATGTATGGATCATTAGTAATACAATCGAAATTAAATATGATAATACTAGGATCGTTATTGAATAAAATAACTAGTTAAATAAGATCGTGTATAGGTTGATAGAACACAAATTTGATGAAATACATATGCAAGGCAAGAAATGTTTTCAAGTTTACTAAATTCTTTCAACACTTAGTAAATAATTCAGAATTTTCAGTTCACTTAATAGAAGTTATCGGCCCAAAATTGTCAGAAAACTATTAACGTATGTTTTTTCCCCACATAAGCTGATTATAGAAAGAAGAAAAATAGAGTAGCTAGCTCAAATAGGATGTGTACATTATGCGATAATTGTGATAACGAGGACGAATTTCATTTCGTCCTGAAGTTATTTTTATTTAAATTTACGCGTCAGATTATTGAAGCCATACTTTTTGCGTCAGTCTAGTGTAATAAAAGAAAATACTGAAAATGTTGTCATGGCAAAAGATTCAGAGACTGTTTTGTAGGAATTTAAACACAGTGAGAAAACCCGATTACGTCTGCTAGAAACACTCCTTTATTGTATTCAAATGTTGTACATATTGTTCTTCCGATTTATCAATTATGGACTTTTGTTGAGGTGAATGTATGGTTATATGCACCTGATAAAGCGATATTAACCGAGACGAAGTCGAGGTCAACATCACTATTCAGGTTTATATAATTTTAGAATATAGTTGTGAGTTTTTGGACGGTTGCACTATTTTTGAATCGGAAAAAGCCCAACGTGAAGCAGCTAGCTCGTATTATATTAGGACTTCCTTCATAACCTATTAATACTTTATGTTACGAAACTAGTCTTGAAACTTTATCTAATCGCAGAAAACGGAGGAAACTTCAACTATTGTATAAGATGCATAATAAATTAACTCCTGATTACTTCTTTTCTTTTTACAAATAAGAAACAAAACATTTGTCATTTGTCAACTTCAGTCATTTTTTAAGTTTATATTCATGCACAGGGATTCGTTACAAATGTTTAAAATACACATATAATCCGTGTTTTCAAACACGTTTCCAAGAGAGTAACATATCGGCTGTCATTAGGAACCGTCGATATATCTCCGTTTTTGTGTTGATTTTCTATATTAAAATTTCGCCTGTTGGGATTTTGTTTAACCGAATTTTCCCGGTTTTTCACTGATTTTTTTTTCGGGGCCGCTTGTGCTTCCAAAAATTCAAGATGGCGACGGCGAAATGTTGATTCGTCTATTAGGCCTACCAGGAACTACACAGCCGATCACGTCAACAGCTACAAAGGTCAGTTTTTAACGATATTATGTAGTTAATGTCTTATCTGTATTGACTTTTTTTGATTGTTTAGATTTTCAGACTACATATAGGCCTATGTAGGTGGCCACAATCCGGAAGTTCCTCCCATGACCATATAAGATATATAGAAATCAGCGAGTTTGAAACCTGTTTTAATCAACAACATGACTGATAATATAACGATGTTGCTCATTGCCGACATATCATATCAAAGTTAAACTAAAAACCTTAACCATGGTAGGAAACATCCCCAGTACTGTACCTCATGACCTTGAATTCGTAACCTAATGACATATATCTGATCACAGCGCTTGTATTAGATATTTACTATACTTCTACCCCCCCCCCCCCCCCCCCCCCCCTCCTACCGTCTATTAATATTAAGTTATATCACGGACTTAGATAGTCTTATTCCGTGGTTATATGAAATGAAAGAGTTCAATAGCTTAGTGGATAGCGAATTTGGTCTGAATTAAGAGGTGTCCCGGTATTAACAGAATAAGTAGTTTATTGATCTGTTGATGTGTTACTACACATCTAGATAAGTTGGTGGGGGTTGAAGAAGGTTACACTTTTATTATTATATGACACATAAGACATTTATTTTTTTTCTGAAAAAATGCCCTTTCATGCTTGATTCAGCTTCACTTTCATTCATTGTTGCTTAAAACTACACAAAAACTTTAAAAAAGTTACATATAAAGGTCAATATATAGGTCACCTGTGGGATGAATAAAGGGGGGTAATTACTTGCCCTTTTCACAGGCACTTCACAATTCATCACATATGTGTCAATTGTGTAAAGTTGATACCAAACAAAAATAATTCACAGGCTATCTCCTGATGCATTCAGACTAGATTTCAGTCTGTTTTACTCAGTTCAGCACCTGGTATCCATGGTAACTAATACATAAAGTTGTATTTATTGAAAATGGGTAAAATATCTGTTTTCATTCTAATAACACTATTTTATATGTTTTATTTCCACTTGATTCAGCATACAGATTAAATTATCAAAGTCAATCATGTCAATAAATTTTATTTCCATAATTACAGCTGGGGAAAATATTTTTTTTCCCTTGTATTCATTTTGATATCACTATCAGTGAGCCTCGATAATGTCATAGATGCCCATTGATGACGTCATAGTTATGATGACATCACAATAACTAGGAAGTCATCAAACAAGACAGAAACATCATAGTATCACTGTAATGTTTTGTTTTTCACATGCACATGATCTTCAAGCATCATATTTCACCCAAAATGAAACTTTATTCATGAAAACTACAAACCTATACAAGTTTTCATTTTTCAGATTACCTCCCTTTGTTGGTAGTTTGAGAGCAGAATTGGTAAAATTTCACCTCTCAGGAGAATTCATATTACTCGGTCACTATTGAAGGGAGAAAAGAAACGGATACATCATTTTGTTCATTGTGTCATTTTCCAGACATAAAGGTTTTAATAAAATTTTGGGAAAAAGAAAGGTAGTAGTATAAGGTAGTAGTATACAGTAGCGTACAATGGCCATGGGTGATATTTTATACAATGAACCTGTAATATAACATGTATCAACATTTAAAAAAAATATCAGCTCTAAAATTGGCATATACGTAATGAATTGGACTATGTGGGCTTCACATTTAAAAAAACAAATCAAAGGGCCGGTTTCCAAAACGGCCCCTTCTCTGATTCAAATTTCCTGTTGGTGGTGCATTGCCCATGCCGTTGTGGTCACAAATCTATAAAGTATAAAGATTTAGGTCACTTGGTTTGTTTTTTATGGCTCCTCAAAGTTGTACCTTTCAGAAGCTGTCTAAGTGTTGATAAAATGTGCATGTTATGTAAAATATTAATGAAAATCTAATCAAATGATGGTCACCGTAAAGAATACATTCATGGCATGATTGTGACAAAAAATCATGTTTCCATCGCGCCATTTGGCTGTTTTATGGAAGAAACAATCTCAAAAATGCCATTTTCGATGATAACATTTTAGACACAAAAACTGTGTTTTTTAGAGAATACACCCTTTTATGGGCGTTGGATGCAAACCAATTTTTATCCTATTAAACAGTACGTAATATGCTATTGATGAGAGGAAAAATCATCAAAATGTAAGTGGTGGAACATTTTCAAATGTTGGGTTGAATTAGCCTATGGTTGAATTGCCGATTTTCGACTTTCTTTAGATAATTAACAAAAAAACGAGAGTATTTGCTCGGTATGTTGAGAATATGTACACAGATATGAAAAAAAGTGAGAGAAACACTTTTTCATAAAAAAAATCCAAGATGGCTACTTCACAAGTCCCCGTGGTTGAAGACATTGGCTGACAAATAGACAGAACAACAAACAAAACGTGTTCCTTATGATTTTGGTTGGTTTTCGCATTTACGGGAGTGTTCATAGCTACGGGCGATTGTATAATACCTATATTTATAAGTTTGGTTAGTCACATGGTAACGGGGATCTTTCATATCGAGCCCCAAACATACTTTCGACATATGCACTCCGTTGCCGCATGGAAAACTATTTCAAGTTTTGTCGGAATTTCTTTACCTGTGGTTGTAATGGTCGAGGGTTTTCCAGCGTCCTGTAATACCCAAGGTAGTACAAGATACTGGAGATGTGCGCACACATTCCCATCGTTCTCTCTCCAACTGGGCACTGGCAGTAGTAGTCCTTTATTGGGGCCTCAACATCGGGTGAAACGGTGAACCGTATCCAAACGTTATATTTCGTTTGGCTTTTGTGTCGAGAATGTATTTGACATCGGAGAAGGTCTGGGGAGTGCTGGTAAAGCCACACCTCATAGTCTCCGTCATCACTTAAATGTTCGGCGATGTAACCAGGAGCCAGAGATATCTGATACGTTCCACACGTAATGGTTCTCAAGTAATCAAGATCGAGACGGGGAAACAGTACGGAAGATGCATCCATCTTGACAAACTCGGACCTTGCCCGTCTAGATAGATCCGGATCTGTCTTGACTCTCTGAGCTAAACCATTCGGTGTTGTCAAACGGTCCTTCATACGTTCAGCCATTAGCCTATCTTTGGCATCTCTCTCTGGAGATCTCTGGTAGATCGGTCCTCTAATACCATTCAGACAGGCTGTGACGGTTCGAAGCAAAGCCTCGATGACATTGATAAAGCTGTTAGACACCAATTGCGTTCGGAAGAACGTCCAGTGTTTCAGACGACCATGATAGGATTCCACAATCCACCTCGATTTGGTGATAGTTCTGTCAAGATTTGCTTGGACGTCAGAATGTTGACTTTGACCGGGTTTCAGGTATGACGGCATGCTAGCATTGAGGCCAGAGGCTTCGAGAACTGGTAGGACATCTCTAAAACCTCGGTCAACGACAACGTTGTCGTCTGGTTGTAGCCAAGTAACTAGCTTGTCCATGACTTTTTTTGTAATTGTAGCATCATTTTCGCTGCCAGTGAATGGTCCTACTGTGTCCAGAATGTAGCCATCTGGTAAGGCGATGCTCATGAATTTGAGATAGTTTCTCTTCTTCTGGCCACAGTAGGACATTCTCTGGAGCTTGTGGTCGGAGCTTTTCTGGATATAAATATAGGTGCCATCTAATATGGCAGTGGCTTTATCTCCAAAAAATGCTTCTGAAAAGACAGTATTGTGCCCGAGCAACTGTTCTCTTGTCAAGTGATCCGGACCTAGAAATTGTGGGACTATCGATGTGTCTAATGCCTGTACTATGGAGTGGAAAGTTTTGGACACACTTGACTTGGAAATTCCAAAAAGAGAAGAACACTGACTCCAGGAAATGTCGGTTTTCAGTTTTACCCAGAACAGTAATAGAGCATCGTGTGTAGTCTTGGTATATATACCAGATGAAAGATATGGGGAACAGTGCGAGTGGATTTCGAGGAACTGATCTTTGGACCAACCTGTCCAGGCCATGCATGCCGAGTCATCAAGAGAAGAAAAGCTTATTGTAAACGCAGACTGGTTCTGTGAAAGGACGTGCGACACCTCTAGGAGGTCATTAATGATTTCGGACGATTTTGATGGTAACTGAGATTCCAAGGAACCTCTACCATCAAGGACAACCTCTGTAGACGGATCTAAGTCGTTACCAATAAGGTGAATGGAGCAGACGCGGGATGAGGTGGGACACCACAGTTTGTGTGAATAGATCAGGTGATGTCTTGCACGTTTTGGTAAGACTGATGATTTTGTTCCATTTCTTGCAAAGGTAACAAGACAGAGACAGCATTTTTTGTGTGAAGATGATCCATTCAAAAGATCATGAAGGGTCAGCAACGGCAGGATATGGGACGGGGAGTCGTCTTCTTCCTCTATTTCCTGGTTCTGCTCGGGTTCAGGTTCAGGCTGATTTTTGTTCCGAAGATACTTCATGTAGCACTTCTGGCAAATAAGTGCTTGTTCCTTTGCTGACATCAATCCTTGTTGCACCAGCGTATCTAGGAGCCATTTATATTGTGGACTATTTACATTGCGTGCACTTCTGTTCTTATTGCCACTACGTTTCTTGAAGTATACTTGACACCCTTCTCCAACACATTTACCCTCCATCTTGAAACAATAACGATTGGTTTATGAAGCGTCGATAAAGTAACAAAATAGCAAGCCACCGATGATTGCTGTAAACAGCTAATACTTAGTAGTTTGGTACAATTATGCGAAAATGTGTGATAAATAACGAACAACTAATTACACAAAATAACAAGACAATATAATAAATCACATTCAATACCTCCAAGAAGCGCAGAATTGATTGATTACTTAGAACAAAATAAAGTATTTCATATGGATAATCTATCTATTCGATGTGGCGTGGTCGGCAGGCACAAAGAAAGTGAGACAAGTCAGGGTCCCAACCCTGACAGAGCCACAACGCTTTGGAGATGGGACAATAAAACAAGGAAAGTGAGACAAGAATAGCTAGCGTCGAGTCAATGATTCCGTAAACGTATAGACAAAGACAAGAA